CAGGTGACCAGTCAAACAATCTAGGCCAGAGACAGCAGGTGACCAGTCAAACAATCTAGGCCAGAGACAGCAGGGGACCAGTCAAACAATCTAGGCCAGAGACAGCAGGGGACCAGTCAAACCATCTAGGCCAGAGACAGCAGGTGACCAGTCAAACAATCTAGGCCAGAGACAGCAGGGGACCAGTCAAACAATCTAGGTCAGAGACAGCAGGTGACCAGTCAAACAATCTAGGCCAGAGACAGCAGGTGACCAGTCAAACAATCTAGGCCTGAGACAGCAGGTGACCAGTCAAACAATCTAGGCCAGAGACAGCAGGTGACCAGTCAAACAATCTAGGCCTGAGACAGCAGGTGACCAGTCAAACAATCTAGGTCGTTTTTTTGTCAAAAAGCAGTATCACCACCAGGCACACCTCTTCATGAAATCACATCTGCAAAAAGAAGGCAACTCGGTTCAAATGTAAACACAACACACCCTGAAACACACTAGGTGAATACCCCACCTGCTCTCAGACATGAAACAACTGGGTTTAAATCTGTATAGAAGGCACCAGACATACTGTGGCCTTGAAAGGAAAATATTCCAGCTAGTAACATTCACAAGATACCCAATCCCTACCTCTTCATCGTCTGGCTGTATAATAGCATCAAACACAACACAGATGATTCTTATCACAACAGTATAGGATGCAGGATTTGTTCATATTGCACATGTAGGTGACAATGCAGAAAACAAACTGAGCCTTTAGTGAAGTCAAATAAGACAGAAGAAGCACTGATCGGTAGACATGATAATATAAACTCAAATACAGAAGATGATGATAGTGTTTTCAATAATCTTAATACACACACACAAAATAATTATAACTGTAAAATCAAAGTCAGTAAACAGTTCATAGCAAGAAAAAATACAGCAACTGATGGCACAACAAAACCGTGTGTAAGGCTCGCACACACATGCATCTGTGTGTGTGTGTTTGAGGCTGGGGGAGGGAAATATGTAAAGAGTGACTGCCGCCTAGGAATTTTAATCCTAACTACTTCACAGTGCACAAAGGTTGAACGGGTTCAGGATAAAGGAATGAGAATCATCTTGGGTTGCACATGAGTGACCACAATGAGAACAATGAGGTATATGCTTGGGCTGACATCAGTAAAGTCAAGACTGTCACTGGCACAAACCAAGGCCTTTATGTCAGTTACCAATGATGAAGGGCATCCGCTGCATGGCAATTTGAAGATTTAAGAGAAGACCGGTTGAAAAGAGGAAAGTCATGGATGGCACTAGGTGCAGATACCATCAAGACGACAGCCTCAGTCGAGCAAATACACAGCGGGCAGGAATGGGTTGACACAGTCGCCCACAAAAGCAGTTTCCATCAGGTCATTATTACATTAGGAAGAGAACGTAGAGGATGGTGTAACGATATGGCAGAATTAGAGATACAATGAATTAGAGATACAATAACTGATAGATGAAAACGCTGGGATAGATGATGCAGTAGTGTACACCGATGGTTCTGTTCATCAGGGTGTAAGATTTGGCTGGAGATTTTCAAGGGAAAGATTGTAGCAGAACAAACTGGAAATTTTTTATATCGAAAACTTCAAACATGAGGATGGAAATGGAGGCAATCACTGCAGGTCTGAAGTAGATAGCAGAGAGGAATTATGGTGTCTGATTCTCAGTCTGCAGGTCTGAAGTAGATAGCAGAGAGGAATTATGGTGTCAGGTTCTCAGTCTGCAGGTCTGAAGTAGATAGCAGAGAGGAATTATGGTGTCTGGTTCTCAGTCTGCAGGTCTGAAGTAGATAGCAGAAAGGAATTATGGTGTCTGGTTCTTAGTCTGCACTGCAGAAGGTTAAAAATGAACATATGTTGGATGAGTGGATACCAAGCATCAGTATACAGGGAATCACGTGGGTATACTGTCCTGGATATGCAGGAGTGCGAGGGAATGAGACAGCAGATTTTCTGGCTACAAATACAACAGCAAGAGGAACACTCGTACCAGTCAAGGGAGATATTCTGAAGACCACACATGAATGAACGTTGATAGAAGACATGAGGTTAGATGAAATATGATGTGTAAGAATGTGAGAATGAAGAATTAGGAGTGGATCTAGAAAGGATGGATGTATGAGATGAGAACCATGTGTGTATCATCAGTGTGCTACAAGAACAGTTAGCATCCAAACCTTAAAATATTTGCTTTGGAGACAGAGCATCTATAGGTGTGCCCGTTGTGCTATTATGTCAATCCTTAAATCAATAATAATAATACACACACACACACACACATGAATGAACAATAAAACCACCCACTAAAAAAAAACACAACAAAACAAAAATAACATCAAGTGGACAATAAAGAAAATTATCTCCACATGGTATATCAATCTGATTAACACTTAGAAGGCTAAGATACCTTAATTAGCATACACTCCAACTAAACAGTAACTACAAGATAATAATTATTATTCTACAAAAAGACAGTAACATGAACACATCAAAAGAAAGTATACAATGTATGGAAGACTATTCAACTGACAGCTTGCAGACCTGGGAAAATCTAGGAAGTGGCCCAAGGATCACTGCCAGCTGTAGTGTATGTGGCCTAAGGATCATTGCCAGCCGTAGTGTATGAGGCCCAAGGATCACTGCCAGCTGTAATGTATGTGGCCCAAGGATCGCTGCCAGCTGTAATGTATGTGGCCTAAGGATCACTGCCAGCTGTAATGTATGTGGCCTAAGGATCACTGCCAGCTGTAAGGAAGGATCACTGCCAGCTGTAATGTATGTGGCCCAAGGATCCTGCCAGCTGTATCCTACACTGCCAGCTGTAATGTATGTGGCCCAAGGATCACTGCCAGCTGTAATGTATGTGGCCCAAGGATCACTGCCAGCTGTAATGTATGTGGCCTAAGGATCACTGCCAGCTGTAATGTATGTGGCCCAAGGATCACTGCCAGCTGTAATGTATGTGGCCCAAGGATCACTGCCAGCTGTAATGTATGTGGCCTAAGGATCACTGCCAGCTGTAATGTATGTGGCCTAAGGATCACTGCCAGCTGTAATGTATGTGGCCCAAGGATCACTGCCAGCTGTAATGTATGTGGCCCAAGGATCGCTGCCAGCTGTAGTGTATGGATGATCATTCTAGGCTGTGGATCAGGCCTCTGGCCAGTGACAAAATGTCGACCCCTCAGTAGACATAGCAGCTGACAAGTTCTGATGTATAATATTAGCGAGGCAACATGCCACACATACACACATTCAAGCCAGTGAGGGGAAGACAAGCCATGAGGACTGGGTTAATATCAATCAAGGAAGCAGTGGCACAAGTACCAGGTCACATATTCAACACAAGAATCAGTACAACAGGGTCACACAAGGAAAGGCCGGTATCATTATTACCATCATAGCCCCATCAAACTGTCAGCTGTTAGTGAAGCAATATAGAAATACTCTGCACTACTGCTGGTAACAAGAAACAGGGAATAAATTCAACAAAGACAAACTGTTTAATGAGCACAGGCAAAGGTATCGAGCTAGAGGGCAATGTGTCACCAATAGCACACAGTCAAACAGCAAGCTGTGTCGCTACTGGTACACAGTTAACAAGTTGTGTAACTACTGGTACACAGTTAACAAGTGGTGTAGCTACTGGTACACAGTTAACAAGTTGTGTAACTACTGGTACACAGTTAACAAGTGGTGTAGCTACTGGTACACAGTTAACAAGTTGTGTCGCTACTGGTACACAGTTAACAAGTTGTGTAGCTACTGGTACACAGTTAACAAGTGGTGTAGCTACTGGTACACAGTTAACAAGTGGTGTAGCTACTGGTACACAGTTAACAAGTGGTGTAGCTACTGGTACACAGTTAACAAGTGGTGTAGCTACTGGTACACAGTTAACAAGTGGTGTAGCTACTGGTACACAGTTAACAAGTGGTGTAGCTACTGGTACACAGTTAACAAGTGGTGTAGCTACTGGTACACAGTTAACAAGTGGTGTAGCTACTGGTACAAAGTTAACAAGTGGTGTAGCTACTGGTACACAGTTAACAAGTTGAGTAGCTACTGGTACACAGTTAACAAGTTGAGTAGCTACTGGTACACAGTTAACAAGTTGAGTAGCTACTGGTACACAGTTAACAAGTTGAGTAGCTACCAGTAATCTAGGTTTTAGAATAACACAGAGCAGAGACTAGCATAAAACACTGACAGTATCAATAACAGGCACTCAGTGAAAGCAACAATGCTGTATCCTCACTACAGAGCCATCTGAAGTTTCCAGAAATATGTCTGAACCTATGACACTCCCATTCTCCCAGAAATATGTCTGAACCTATGATACTCCCATTCTCCCAGAAATATGTCTGAACCTATGACACTCCCATTCTCCCAGAAATATGTCTGAACCTATGACACTCCCATTCTCCCAGAAATATGTCTGAACCTATGACACTCCCATTCTCCCAGAAATATGTCTGAACCTATGACACTCCCATTCTCCCAGAAATATGTCTGAACCTATGACACTCCCATTCTCCCAGAAATATGTCTGAACCTATGACACTCCCATTCTCCCAGAAATATGTCTGAACCTATGACACTCCCATTCTCCCAGAAATATGTCTGAACCTATGACACTCCCATTCTCCCAGAAATTTGTCTGAACCTATGACACTCCCATTCTCCCAGTAATATGTCTGAACCTATGATATTCCCATTCTCCCAGAAATATGTCTGAACCTATGACACTCCCATTCTCCCAGAAATAAGTGAGTATATTCACTTGCTGATCTCCACAATCCCCCAAATGTTCAGATGACCATTATTTGGCGCTGTATAAAATGTAGTTTTGGATGAATTATCTATAGCTACTGTTCACGTGCACTCCTCTGTACTTTGGGTATTTGTACGAAACTCACTTTAACTTTATACTATTAAGCAAAAGTCCATTGTTTATCAGGGCAAGAGTGCAACCATTCAAGCACCCGTATTGTGGTTGTCAAGTGTACACTCATCTATCTGCTGTTTGACAAATTCATGCATTTCTGCAAAAGTGTGCAGACCTAGAAGAGACCAAGTAACAATTTCCACAGCCGGAACTTTCAACATGGGACGGAAGGCATCGCCAGGGTCATGTTCCCCGCTGAGGTCTAAATTATTAAAGGGGTTAACACGTTGTTTATTTGGCACTGCCAGCGTTAGAGATTTTGCTGAGGTTCTCAAACTGGCATCATCTGCAACTTCACCATACACCCGGCCTAAAATGCGACTGTCTCTGTCAGCGTTGACGAAAAGATTTGCATCTGCGTTAGATGAGATCTCCTGGAGTTTGCTCTGAAGCTCCAGCACCATCAGTCTCATATATTCATATCCGGCACAGGACAAAGCCTTCATCCAAGACTCCATGGCCTCCTGAGAGTGAGCACTGAGACAGTAGGTCCTGGAGCCGCTGGCGGCAAAGTTGATCATGAACATGAAATTATCAACATCCTCGGCCAGTTCTATCGTACAGCCTTCTAGAATAATGACCCCAAGAGGGTCCTTGCTGCCTTTCTTTTCATAGTAAAACAGCAGATTTCCCTTGAGCACAAACCATCTTTTCTGAAAGCCTTTGTTGAGCTCCCCTTTCTTGTGCAAGTAGCCCTGTTTGTCTGCAGGAGCACCGGAAGTAGCAAAGTGGGCCAGGCCTTTCTCGTTCAAGATTTTCATGTTGTCTTACATTCAGCACACCACCATTACTTGAGATCTGTAGGATTGACAAAAAAAAAAAAAAAAATTAAAGTAGCCAATATATTTCAAACAAAAAGCCCCAATGCAGTATGTGCGTGCACACATATACAACTGAGTTTTGCTAGAATTTCCATTTTGCTCTACTATTGACAAAAACCGGTGAATGTTTACATCCACCAAATGCAGGCAGTAGGTATAGTTCAGTTTGTTTGCAGGACTGTCTATCTGGCAGTTTCCATGTGTTCCAGTAACTGTGTTTTCACTATCTACATCACTGCACACTGGGCATTTCCATGTGTACTCAGTCTCCCGATGCAGCAGCTACTCCAAGGTACCCATGAGGAGTTGGTTACAATCTCTCCTATCTCAACCTTAAGGGTGGCATAGACACGCTTCACCATGTTTTACTTCCAGGTCACGCAATTATGTTAAGTCTAAAAAATTTGTCATTATCCACTAACCCAGTCCAAACAGCATTGGTGAAATCCGCTCTGAAATCCAGGCAACTTCCGGCACGCATTGGTGCACTATGTGTGTATTTGGATCAGTTTGTCTGTGTGCATGTGACAATGCATGTGTCTGTGAGTGTCAGCGTTTGCTTCTCTCTTATGTCTGTGTATGTTTGCATATTGTATGTATTTCCTAACAGGTTGTACTCCAGAACACCAAGGGACACAATGATGGAACAATATGATTACCTACAAAATCTGGTAAAGCATATGGTGATTATGATGATATTTGTTATGCATACATTAAATATTCATTATATGTTTGCTGCTAAATGAATTTTATATCCCAATCTATGCATCGCGAGGCGGCGTGGAAGATACTCTCGGCGGTGGCGGTATAGTCCCCAGAAGTTTGCAATTCGGCAGTGGCGGTATAGTCGCCGGAAGTTCGCAATTGACATGTGACAGAGGTCCTGTTAGGGTATATTTGCAGCCTCGATAATTTGGGACCGTTATACGGTTATTCAGAAGATAGCCACAATATTATATTTATAATAATCTGAAACATTCAGACTGCAATGTATGAGTTATGATTAGAGTTATCTTCACGGCACTCCGAATACGTATAAATGTGTTCCGATTCTTCCTTCGAAGAATATACATCAACATCCAGTGTAACTATTTGAATATCAAGAATATGGGCTCTCTTCCAATCGGCATCATAATATGGCGGCCAGAATATGATGCCGTTCGGAGGAGAGCCATTCTGGCCATAAAATATCCGAACGGTGTTCAGGCATATCTAAAATACGGACTTTCTGCCAAGGAACAAATCGCGACAAAACTAGGATTACTTGACAATATCAACATTGCACACGGTAGTAGCAGACGATAAATACCGATCGTTGACAATTTTGAGCGTTTTTGCAGACGATATTAGCGACCGTTGACGATGAAAGTGATTAGCAATACTGTTCCTCTGATTGAGGATTTAGCAGCGGTAGATGTCAGACTTGTAGGCATGCGCAAAACGCGATTAAACTCATCGGCGAGCGTATCCCCCGTGCCGCTACTCGCAGCGTGGATGGGGGGTTAAACTAGGTGCCTGGGACTCACGAGCAAAGTAATTGGAGGAAGTTGCAGGAGATGCGAGAGCTGCCGCTAGTGAGTCCCAGCCATCTAGTTTAGCCCCTTTCCGCACCGCGCATAGCGACGCAGGGGATACCCTCGGCGGTGAAGCATAGTCACAGAAACAGGTCCGCAAGTAACATATCGCTGAGACTCTGTTAGAGCATTTATTTCGTTTTTCCGAGCCGATCCAAGATTTGCCGCGATTTGTTCATCGGCAGAAAGTTCAACAATGGAAAGTGTCAACGGTCGCTATTATTATCGTCTGCTAACTATCGTCTGCAGTGTTGCGTACGTCTCTTAGAATTGTCAGGTAATCAGAAACAATAAGAAACAGGTCCGCAAGTAACATATAGCTGAGAAAATGTTAGAGCATTTGTTTCGTTATACGGAGCCGGCATATTTTACATATAACTGAGCCCCATTGGATATTTTTGTATATTTTATGGCCAGAATGGCTATCTTCAGAATGGCCGCCATATTATGATACCGTTCGGAGGAGAGCCAGAATGACTCAATATAAATATGTAGCGACTACGGTGTTCGGCAATTTGTGGTCTACTGGCAATTTCCGTTACCATGGAAACCGTTCGAAACTTGTTTGGGAAATGTCGGCTGGTTTCGGGATGGGTCCCAATCTCTCATGAAATTTTGCGATTGGTGTAGTTTTCACCAGTATAAATAGCTGAAAACGGCGGGAACGAACCCGATTAACAGCGCATGTCTACGACAGCCGGAAGTCCTCTGTTTTTCTGTTACATCAGTTTTATTAAAAATAGCGATAAGTATTCAAGGTTGGCTTTAGGCATTAACATTACTAGTACTGGTAATGCTGGTTATAATTGAATTCTCCGTCCAATTTTACATTTGTATATCAAATTTCTTTCTTATCAGTGGCTTTTTAGATTTACAGTGACATTTTCAGGCAATCGCTATTATGTGGCTGTGTCTCATTATCTGCCATCTTGTCCAATGCAAACAAAGCCAAAACGATAAGTGCGCAGTTTGGTTGCGCAGAGAAAACTTCTTGTTTCACAGACACAGACGCAAGTTTTCAACAGCTGTTTTTTACATATCTCCACAAAAACCTACATATCTCAGCTCAGAAATGACATACAAGGCTAAATGAGGTACCATTGGAAAGAGATTGTTTACAGCTATCTAACTGTGCTGGTTTTATTGATGTTGAGGGCATTTAAAAATTTTACTAAAGTACTAACTGTGCTGGTTTTATTGGTGTAGAAAATTTGACCAACAGTATGGTATGTTGTTTGTTGTGTAAAAAAAGGCGCCTAAAAAAAGCGACAGGAACATTTACCATCCATCTGTTTTTGATGTTTGGAAGGGCCGAATGTAGCACAGGTCTGCGTGCCCACTTTGTGACCTTTTTGAAGAGAAAGCTGGTTTGTTGTTTCTAGTTAGGCCCACAACTTGATGAACTGCTAGTACTGCCTGCTGGCGGCGGCCATGTTTGGTCTGCCCATCAACTTCCGCTGGCTTCTCCAGACGTCTGCTCCAGCTAACGGCCGACATGGTCCATGTTGTTCTCTCATCGTCTCCGTCAGGATTTACTACACAAATATTGGTCCTCTCATTCACAGACAGCGTCTGCTTGTGGTAGCCTTCACATTTTCTATTCGTCTTCTTTTTTGTGTGCATTAGTTATTATTTACTGTCGCTGTAGTAGTAATGTAGTGAACGTGTGGCCGTTGACGTTGACTTTTTGAATTCAGTAACTTACTAAGTAAGTAACAGTAACCTAAAACGAGCAGTGACGTTTAGTTGTCAGTGTTGTGTTGAGTGTTGTTTCTAGGCTTTATTCTAACTTCCCTAGGGCCCAAACCAGAAATCATGCTGGTACTACTGGTAGTCAAGCTCAGCAGCAGTCCTGGCTAAAGTTACAGTCAAACATCTCACCAGAGAGAGAGAGAGGGCATTAAATTAATTAGCCATCAGCTTTATTTTACATATATATTCACCATGAAACATGGATCTTTATAAATTTATGGCTCTCCTCCGAACTTCTACCCCGGCATTATGGCGGCCAAACAAATATCCTTACGGGGCTCAGTCCTATTAAAAATATGCGAACTTCCGGTGACGAACGAATCGCAGTAAAACTAGGATCGGCTCAGTATAACGAAACAAATGCTCTAACAGGGTCTCAGCGATATGTCAATTGCGGACCTGTTTCTGTGACTACGCCTCACCGCCGAAAGGAATCAGCAGCTACCGCATCTCCTGCAACTTCCTCCAATTAATTTGCTTTTGAGTCCCAGGCACCTAGTTTAGCCCCCGACCGCGCCGCGCGTAGCTGCGAGGATACCGCCGGCGGTGAGTGTAACTGCGTTTTGCACATGCCTAAAAGTTTGAGGACAACAACGACGCTAATCTGCGTCGGCTTACGTGGTCTCCCTGCCATGTCGCTTTTATCATCAGTTATGTTGCGTATCTCGAAATTGTCAATGGTCGCTAATATCGTCTGCAGAAACGCTCAAAAGTGTCGTCGCTATTATCGTCTGCTACTGTCGTCTGCAGTGTTGCGTCTCTTGAAATTGTCAGGTAATCCTAGTTTTGCCGCAATTTGTTCGTCGCCGGAAGTTCGCATATTTTTTTTAAAGGACTGAGCCCCGTAAGGATATTTGTTCGGCTGCCATAATGCCGGGGTAGAAGTTCGGAGGAGAGCCAAATTTATTTTCAGACTCCAAAAGATCCTTGGAATATACATAGACCACATTACAAATGGCAGTTCACCTTGTCATCTCTTCACACAATGGCTACTTTGAACCTCTGACCACTTGAGGACACAGAACCTGACAAGGAGTGGGTTCGAGTGTTTCATTCCATTTTAATCTACATAAAATTGGACAGAACTGCAGACAACAAAACCCATTGATGGAGGTCTGCCCCTCTTCCCAAAACTATACCCTCTGCTACTATTCACTGCCATTCTTTCCAGTCCATGGTGGCGTTTCATAGGACCAAAGTATTTCGTTTCCGAGACATGATGCTGAAGGAGGTGCAGTGAGTTACACCAGTGGATCCATGGTGTGACATGCAAAGCTCATGGTCTTTCATGGTTCTTGTTGGAGGAAGAACTGGATAGAAAAATAGGGGTGCTTTTGCCCTGACTGCCAGTAGTTTTGACTGTGGAGGGGATAGCAGTCACAAAAACTATCACATGGCTGCAGATACAGATTTTTACCTATGCATGTTTTCAAAATGATTCCCTGAACATGCTTAAGAAGACTGAAACAGGATGGCTTCAAATAGTTTTTGTGACTGCCAGTAGTCTTGACTGTGGAGGTGATAGCAGTCACAAAAACTATCACATGGCTGGAGACACAGATTTTTACCTCTGCATGTTTTCAAAATGATTCCCTGAACATGCTTAAGAAGACTGAAACAGGATGGCTTCAAATACAGTTTTTGGAGTCTGATAAAATGTTGTCTGACAGGACTAAATTGTGTGTGTGTGTGTGTGTAGGGACACTGTAGGGTATGAGGACATTAATGAGCAGATTGGCTAGCTGGCAGGCCCATTGTAGGCTCACTAAAAGCAGTGGATCGGGCCGATGTTCTCAAAGTCCTCAAGGATTGGGAGGACCTGGTGTGAACTTCGTGCTGAAGCAAAGGATATGACGAGTTGGTTGAGAGCCTGTGCTGTGGCAGGGTACAAGAAGAAAGACATGGAAACAGAACTTAGCTGACTGGGTGGCTCTACAGTATGCAGTCATCTAATTCATTGCAGCTGACAGACAGGGATGAATCTGATCAAATTGTTAACAGCAAGTCAGAGTACACCTGCCTGAGAGGCAAGGATCTAAGAGTCTGCGTACAAATAAGCCAGATCTGTGAAACGGGTGTGCAAACAACAATCAGGTTATGGAACAAGACTAAAGTTTGGAGATGGGCGAAAACCAGGAACTTTCTGCCAGAGTTTACATCTAGTGAATGCAAAGCAGAAGAAGATAACAAATAAGCTAGGTTGTCTTTTTCATACACAGTCTGAGGCTAACTGTGTGAAAATAATTTCTCAAGTTGACTTACATAGAATGGCACTGTCAGATTACAGCCGGCACTCACAGTGGATCTGGGAGTTAAGACTGGTCGTAGACTCAAACAAAGGTAGTCACTTTGCTGTAAACATGTTATTAAGAAAAGTTTGCCAATATAAACATGATAATTTAAGGCCAGATTTCTGTATGATGCTCTGACCAGATGTAAAAAGTAACATTTCGTGATATGTATATCCGTAGAAACAATCACTGATTGTTTTTTGGCTGAAAGTATTCATGAGAACTTAACTCAACCAAAAACTTTAGACTTGAAAATGTAGTAATTTAAGATTATTATTTTTTTTCTTTTCTCTATCAGTATTGACGGATTCTGCACTCAGTGAGAAATGAATAACAGAAAAGGAAATCGGTCAAGAACAAGAGAACACAGGAAGTCTAAGAGGCAACGATCTCATAACAGGCATTCATCTAGTGAACATTCTCATGGTGCTGAAGCAAACAGTGGGCCTCCTGCAAGAGTCAGCAGGAAATATCCAACATCAGACCCCAGTAACAGTAGAAGAGGCACATCACATGACCTGTACAGACAGCCTGCTTCATCCACAAGTTCTTGGGATGTATCTAGTCACAGAAGAAACCTTCACCAAAGATCATCATCAACAACCCATGAGACGTCTGACCAGAGAGGACACAAACCATCTGCCTCATCGTCTAGTGCATCAGTTGCGTCCAGCTGTCAGCCATCTACAAATGCTCAACAGCCAGGTTAGTTGTTTTACAGTTTTGATGTGTGGCAAGTTGTTTGTTGTGCACCTGTTGTGTGTACGTAGTTATTTATTTTACAGCTGTTGTGTGTCATAATTGTTTTACAGCTTCGATATGTGGTCAGTTGTTTGTTGTACAGCTGTTGTGTGTGCATAGTTGTTTGTTGTACATCTGTTGTTTGTACAGCAGATAATATTAAAATGTAGGTTCAAAGCCACAGTGTTGAGGGTTAAGCCTGCTTGTCTCCATGTCCAATGTGTCTGGTACATGATGCTTTTTTTTTAATTTTTTGTATTTGACAGTTTAGATATTTAAACATTATAATTATCAGTTGATCTGCATTGGATTAGTTTATTTAATCTTTGCCCTTGTCTGCCAGTATCAACTCTGCTAATCTCTACAACTACCTGAGTGTGTGTCTTCTCACTATTGCAGAGCCCACTTATGGTTAACCCTTTCATTCCAAAAACCCTTGAAAAAAGGGCCCAGAATCTGAGAACCACAGGGGAACAAATAATGTTACTTAGGTCACTGATTAACTTATTTATATTTTGTAGAGATTTATACAGGGAGGTGATCAGTAGACCCCAACATCGTAGAGGAGGATTCCATCCCCTAGGGCTTAAATACAGTTCTACAGTGATTGATACCGTGACCTCCATCACTAAACCAACTACTGCCTCCCCCCCCTTCCCCGGACAATATTTTGAAAATATAATACTATCTGACCTCCTAAACACTAAGCAGAACTAGTACCATTGACTGCTGTTATTTATCAGGGACAACCCAGTGCAGCAGTGCTGGTTTAATACAGGGATTTGTAACGGAGAAGGATGCTTCGTTATCAGAATGTCGGGGTAAAAGGGTTCGGGCATGTTTCAATGCTTGTGACACATGGTTGTGTAAGTCTATTCTAGAGAGCAGTCCCTCTACACAAATAGTGTACAACATTCATTATATACTTGTCAGTCCCACCAAACAAATTGTGTACAACATTCATTATATACTTGTCAGTCCCACCACACAAATAGTGTACAACATTCATTATATATACTTGTCAGTCCCACCACACAAATAGTGTACAACATTCATTATATACTTGTCAGTCCCACCACACAAATAGTGTACAACATTCATTATATACTTGTCAGTCCCACCACACAAATAGTATACAACATTCATTATATACTTGTCAGTCTCACCACACAAATAGTATACAACATTCATTATATACTTGTCAGTCCCACCACACAAATAGTATACAACATTCATTATATACTTGTCAGTCCCTCCACACAAATAGTAAACAGCATTATATACATTGTAACCTTGCCACACTTTATACATCAGGTTGTAGTATATTGCATGCCCCAAACACATCGTCCATGCTGTATATTAAATGAGTGCACCGTGTTACAGAGACTTGATTTATAACCAGCCAGGTTGAATGGATGTGTTTCAGTGCCTCAAGTCAGTGATATCCCTGGCTACTACTACGATGAAGCCAGCAAACTCTACTTCAAGATGCAGTCCTACAACCTGAGTACAGTAGCACCATTTGTCACTAGAGATAAAATAGTCAGCCAACAGAAGGAAAACCAGCGTGTGGTGGATGTACAGAATTTCACAAAGCAAAACTTGCCAGCATCAACAGCCTCGTCCAGTTTACCAGGAACCACTCACAGACACAAGAGTCACCTGGTCAGTGTTCTACAGGAAGTCCAGTGTGGCCAGTTTGCCATGGAGAACTTTAGGACGTACATGTTTCGCCACATGTGCTCTAGAGTGGAGCCAGACGTCACCTGGGAGAACTCATTGCCACTTCAGCCAAGGTAACTGACATTTCTGCTTGATGGTCACTGATTTTTCTTTGAATATTTGTTGTGCCTTACAAAACAATATTTGTGATTTTTTTCTTCCATTCTGTACATTGGAATCAAGACTGTTACATCTTCTGTTATATATGTATTAGAGATTTAAGCCCACTTGGTGGGGTGCAGATAAATTACTGTTTCACGAATTGAAAAAAAAAAAGTCACTTAAATGTAATATGTCACTAAAACTACATTGCACATCATATTGATGGCATTTGTCAGTCCCAAGGCCTCTATGAGGCTGATTTTCTCTCTGGCGTCTCTTCTCTATAGCTCGCTGCGTTTGGTTTCTTTCAAAATGCGACAGTCCGTCTTTCACTTTCTGTTGCGTAGTAGTTGATCTGTAGCTGATTTTTCCCCAAGTCTCTACCTATGTTGGTATCTATCAGGTCACGTTTGCATATGTTTTTTATAACGTAGCTTTGGCTTTCCTGTAAGTCTTTTCCCTGTTTCCAGTTCACCATACAGAAGGTCCTTTGGAATACGGCCATCCTGCATGCAGGAGACATGTCCCAGCCAGCGCAGACTCTGACTTGCTCCAGTATATATTACATTAATGCTATTTTTTTACTCTTCTGAGTACACACGTTTGTTGGAGACAGGGTCTTGCCATGGTATACCAAGGATACCCCCCATGCAGCGCACGTGGAAGGTATTCAGTCTCTTTTCTTGAAGAGCATTCAGAGTTCAGGATTCGCTACCGTACAGTAGTGTGCTCAAGATACAAGACTCGTAAACTTGCATTTGGGTATTATCAGTCAGCCTTTGCTTTGTCCAGACTCTCGTCCTGTAGCACTAGTGTTAGTGGTGGCCTTGTAAGTCGTATATAGATTTAAAAAACACTTGGAAGTTTCGTTATAAAGAAAGTGTTCAGCTAAAAACTGACATCATAGCACTCAGGACAGAAAAGTCTTCTGATTCCATTGGAGCTATGGAGTAAATGTCATTCTTTCAGAGTACGCTAGTTAACAGAAATAACTTGATAACGTAACACGCAAAGCCTTCTGAATGTAGTACACGTCGTCCTTGCCTGCTGGTTCATTCACTACTTCATACCTTTACCCACCTTGATATCACAGTGTACTATTTTGGGTCTCTCTCTCTCTCTCTCTCTCTCTCTCTCTCTCTCTCTCTCTCTCTCTCTCTCTCTCTCTCTCTCTCTCTCTCTCTCTCTCTCTCTCATCCCCTGGCTGGTCGTGTCATCCCCTGGCTGTTTGTATCATCCCCTGGCTGTTTGTGTCATCCCCTGGTTGTTTGTGTCATTCCCTGGCTGGTCGTGTCATCCCCTGGCTGGTCATGTTATCCCCTGGCTGTTTGTGTCATTCCCTGGCTGGTCGTGTCATTCCCTGGCTGGTCGTGTCATCCCCTGGCTGGTCGTGTCATCCCCTGGCTGGTCGTGTCATCCCCTGGCTGGTCGTGTCATCCCCTGGCTGGTCGTGTCATCCCCTGGCTGGTCGTGTCATCCCCTGGCTGGTCGTGTCATCCCCTGGCTGGTCGTGTCATCCCCTGGCTGGTCGTGTCATCCCCTGGCTGGTCGTGTCATCCCCTGGCTGGTCGTGTCATCCCCTGGCTGGTCATGTCATCCTCTGGCTGGTCGTGTCATCCCCTGGCTGGTCATGTCATCCCCTGGCTGGTGGTGTCATCCCCTGGCTGGTGGTGTCATCCCCTGGCTGGTGGTATCATCCCCTGGCTGTTTGTGTCATCCCCTGGTTGTTTGTGTCATTCCCTGGCTGGTCGTGTCATCCCCTGGCTGGTCATGTTATCCCCTGGCTGTTTGTGTCATTCCCTGGCTGGTCGTGTCATTCCCTGGCTGGTCGTGTCATCCCCTGGCTGGTCGTGTCATCCCCTGGCTGGTCGTGTCATTCCCTGGCTGGTCGTGTCATCCCCTGGCTGGTCGTGTCATCCCCTGGCTGGTCGTGTCATCCCCTGGCTGGTGGTGTCATCCCCTGGCTGGTGGTGTCATCCCCTGGCTGGTGGTGTCATCCCCTGGCTGGTCGTGTCATCCCCTGGCTGGTGGTGTCATCCCCTGGCTGGTGGTGTCATCCCCTGGCTGGTGGTGTCATCCCCTGGCTGGTCGTGTCATCCCCTGGCTGGTCGTGTCATCCCCTGGCTGGTCATGTCATCCCCTGGCTGGTGGTGTCATCCCCTGGCTGGTGGTGTCATCCCCTGGCTGGTCGTGTCATCCCCTGGCTGGTGGTGTCATCCCCTGGCTGGTGGTGTCATCCCCTGGCTGGTGGTGTCATCCCCTGGCTGGTGGTGTCATCCCCTGGCTGGTCGTGTCATCCCCTGGCTGGCCATGTACCTGTTTGTCTTGAGCTGTGTCCTCTATGTCTTCCCCAGTACAGTATTGTACCTCTTGTGCCCTCCGTGACTTTATTTTGTGTTACCTGTTTGTCTTGAGCTGCATCCTCTGTCTTCCCCAGTACAGTATTGTACCTGTTGTTCCCTCCATGACTTTCTTTTGTGTTACCTCATGTCTAAGCCATGAGTCATCTCTCATAGATTACCTTCAGAAATCTGGATTCAGTGACATTTTCCAGAACTGATTCACTTTCAGCAGTTGGGTCTACACCATTGTCTGTCTGCAGGTTGGGCCTACACCATTGTCTGTCTGCAGGTTGGGATGTGCATAGAGAACTAGATAAATCAAATGTATTCAGCCAGTAATAATGATGGCATATTGAAGCCAAAAACAACTGTAGCCATCTGTGGGCTGATAGATGCTCTAATGGTGGCCTTCTTTCACAATCTTGCAGCTTTCGCTTGGGTCAAATTGAGAACATGGAGGTCAGTGAGAACAGAGACAAGATAGCTTGTGTCTCATCATTAAAGTCCAGCTACTCCCAGGTCATACAACTGCTGACTGTAGGTGAACATCACACGTCATATCCTGAGGGTCACCGCTCAGTCCTGAGGGTCACAGTTCCATCCCTTTCCTTTGGACCCATACACAAGAGAATTAAAACTATGTGCTGGGCTCCAATACAAGACAGACATGGCCAGGCAACGATTCTCTACACTACAGTATGCCCAATTGGCTGTTTAGCCAGCATTGCTTACCTCAGTAATATAGATGCAGAGAATGATGAGGTGAGTATAGAATATGTAATGATGATGAAAGGCATGTGACATTTAAAACATTCTCTGAATTTTGGCATAATTAGTGTTAACTCTCTGGCCAGAGCATTGTGATCGACTGCTGGAGCTAGAGCAGATTGACAAGCAAGTTTGTGACCACAGTGGTTCAGGGACATTATAACACTTTGATCTGATTGTACTACCACTCTTGACAGAGAGCTTACAGGGTGGTTTTCTGAAAACATGGGACAGTGAAGATGACATTAAACAAGGCTGGGCCAAGGACATTTTTTACTGTGGCCTAGTAGACCAGCCAGAAGTAACTTTTGTGAGATGTTAACAGTTGATACCTGTTGTGCCCTCTGAGAAAATGATGTTGTCTGCTTTATACTATATACACAACCACCTGCTTTGTACACACTGTGAACAGCCTGTCATCAATTGTAACTTGAGGACAATAGTTATGAAGAAAAACTATTTGTCTTTAGTGTGTGTCATATATGTTTTTATGTGCTAAGGAGAATGTGTTTAAATGACATCTGAGTTAAATTAGACATAAATACAAAACTTTTTTACTGTTTTCACATGTAAAACCTGGCAAATTAAAGATAAATTAAACACATAAGTTGTCGGTCATATTATAATAAAAGAATTATTTTAATGTTAAATACAAATTCACTTTGAATCCTTGCCTGAAGGATTATTGAGATGCTAAATGCATGACTGTTTAAATACCAGTTGACAGAGCGCCTTATTTTCCTATTTCATATGAAACAAGCAGCAAATTCTGTTTGAACTGAACCTGGGGAAAAACATTATCTGGTCAGCAGCTTGGAACTCTCACAGACACCAGTTGACCATCGGTGCTGAGCGCAGATGTGGCCTGATTGATGTGGCCACAAGGAAACAGTGGACTTTCAACACCTTGGACAGTGACCCACTGGCCCAGCTCTTCTGTCTGGCTGTAAGTGTTTTAGAGAGACAGTTAGTTACCTCACCTCTGTTAAAGTAAGTATTCTAAAGAGACAGTTACCTCACCTCTGTGTAAGTGTTCTAGAGAGACAGTTAGTTACCTCACCTCTGTGTAAGTATTCTAGAGAGACAGTTAGTTACCTCACCTCTGTGTAAGTGTTCTAGAGAGACAGTTACCTCACCTCTGTGTAAGTATTCTAGAGAGACAGTTAGTTACCTCACCTCTGTGTAAGTATTTTAGAGAGACAGTTAGTTACCTCACCTCTGTGTAAGTATTTTAGAGAGACAGTTAGTTACCTCACCTCTGTGTAAGTATTTTAGAGAGACAGTTAGTTACCTCACCTCTGTGTAAGTATTTTAGAGAGACAGTTAGTTACCTCACCTCTGTGTAAGTGTTCTAGAGAGACAGTTACCTCACCTCTGTGTAAGTATTCTAGATAGACACTTAGTTACCTCACCTCTGTGTAAGTGTTCTAGAGAGACAGTTACCTCACCTCTGTGTAAGTGTTCTAGAGAGACAGTTAGTTACCTCACCTCTGTGTAAGTGTTCTAGAGAGACAGTTACCTCACCTCTGTGTAAGTGTTCTAGAGAGACAGTTAGTTACCTCACCTCTGTGTAAGTGTTCTAGAGAGACAGTTAGTTACCTCACCTCTGTGTAAGTATTCTAGAGAGACAGTTAGTTACCTCACCTCTGTGTAAGTGTTCTAGAGAGACAGTTACCTCACCTCTGTGTAAGTGTTCTAGAGAGACAGTTAGTTACCTCACCTCTGTGTAAGTGTTCTAGAGAGACAGTTAGTTACCTCACCTCTGTGTAAGTCTAGAGAGACAGTGTAAGTGTTCTAGAGAGACAGTTAGTTACCTCACCTCTGTGTAAGTATTCTAGAGAGACAGTTAGTTACCTCACCTCTGTGTAAGTGTTCTAGAGAGACAGTTAGTTACCTCACCTCTGTGTAAGTGTTCTAGAGAGACAGTTAGTTACCTCACCTCTGTGTACTAGAGAGACAGTCCTCACCTCTGTGTAAGTGTTCTAGAGAGACAGTTAGTTACCTCACCTCTGTAAGTGTTCTAGAGAGACAGTTAGTTACCTCACCTCTGTGTAAGTATTCTAGAGAGACAGTTAGTACCTCACCTCTGTGTAGTGTTCTAGAGAGACAGTTACCTCACCTCTGTGTAAGTGTTCTCACCTCTCTGTGTAAGTATTCTAGAGAGACAGTTACCTCACCTCTGTGTAAGTGTTCTAGAGAGACAGTTACCTCACCTCTCACCTCTGTGTAAGTGTTCTAGAGAGACAGTTACCTCACCTCTGTGTAAGTGTTCACCTCTGTGTAAGTGTTCTAGAGAGACAGTTACCTCACCTCTGTGTAAGTGTTCTAGAGAGACAGTTACCTCACCTCTGTGTAAGTGTTCTAGAGAGACAGTTACCTCACCTCTGTGTAAGTGTTCTAGAGAGACAGTTACCTCACCTCTGTGTAAGTGTTCTAGAGAGACAGTTACCTCACCTCTGTGTAAGTGTTCTAGAGAGACAGTTAGTTACCTCACCTCTGTGTAAGTGTTCTAGAGAGACAGTTAAGTGTTCTAGAGAGACACCTCTCTGTGTAAGTGTTCTAGAGAGACAGTTAGTGTAAGTGTTCCAGTTACCTCACCTCTGTGTAAGTGTTCTAGAGAGACAGTTAGTTACCTCACCTCTGTGTAAGTGTTCTAGAGAGACAGTTAGTTACCTCACCTCTGTGTAAGTGTTCTAGAGAGACAGTTAGTTACCTCACCTCTGTGTAAGTGTTCTAGAGAGACAGTTACCTCACCTCTGTGTAAGTGTTCTAGAGAGACAGTTAGTTACCTCACCTCTGTGTAAGTGTTCTAGAGAGACAGTAGTGTAGTGTTCTAGAGAGACAGTTAGTTACCTCACCTCTGTGTAAGTGTTCTAGAGAGACAGTTACCTCACCTCTGTGTAAGTATTCTAGAGAGACAGTTACCTCACCTCTGTGTAAGTGTTCTAGAGAGACAGTTAGTTACCTCACCTCTGTGTAAGTATTCTAGAGAGACAGTTAGTTACCTCACCTCTGTGTAAGTGTTCTAGAGAGACAGTTAGTTACCTCACCTCTGTGTAAGTATTCTAGAGAGACAGTTAGTTACCTCACCTCTGTGTAAGTGTTCTAGAGAGACAGTTAGTTACCTCACCTCTGTGTAAGTTAGTTCTAGAGAGTATCTAGAGAGACAGTTACCTCACCTCTGTGTAAGTGTTCTAGAGAGACAGTTTTACCTCACCTCTGTGTAAGTGTTTAGTTACTCAGAGTGTTCTAGAGAGACAGTTACCTCACCTCAAGTGTTCTAGAGAGACAGTCTCACCTCTGTGTAAGTGTTCTAGAGAGACAGTTAGTTACCTCACCTCTGTGTAAGTGTTCTAGAGAGACAGTTAGTTACCTCACCTCTGTGTAAGTGTTCTAGAGAGACAGTTACCTCACCTCTGTGTAAGTGTTCTAGAGAGACAGTTACCTCACCTCTGTGTAAGTGTTCTAGAGAGACAGTTAGTTACCTCACCTCTGTTAAGTGTTCTAGAGAGACACCTCTGTGTAAGTGTTCTAGAGAGACAGTTAGTTACCTCACCTCTGTGTAAGTGTTCTAGAGAGACAGTTACCTCACCTCTGTGTAAGTGTTCTAGAGAGACAGTTACCTCACCTCTGTGTAAGTGTTCTAGAGAGACAGTTAGTTACCCTCACCCTCTCTGTGTAAGTGTTCTAGAGAGACAGTTAGTTACCTCACCTCTGTGTAAGTATTCTAGAGAGACAGTTAGTTACCTCACCTCTGTGTAAGTGTTCTAGAGAGACAGTTAGTTACCTCACCTCTGTGTAAGTGTTCTAGAGAGACAGTTAGTTACCTCACCTCTGTGTAAGTGTTCTAGAGAGACAGTTACCTCACCTCTGTGTAAGTGTTCTAGAGAGACAGTTAGTGTGTAAGTGTTCTAGAGAGACAGTTAGTTACCTCACCTCTGTGTAAGTATTCTAGAGAGACAGTTACCTCACCTCTGTGTAAGTGTTCTAGAGAGACAGTTACCTCACCTCTGTGTAAGTATTCTAGAGAGACAGTTACCTCACCTCTGTGTAAGTGTTCTAGAGAGACAGTTAGTTACCTCACCTCTGTGTAAGTGTTCTAGAGAGACAGTTACCTCACCTCTGTGTAAGTGTTCTAGAGAGACAGTTACCTCACCTCTGTGTAAGTGTTCTAGAGAGACAGTTACCTCACCTCTGTGTAAGTATTCTAGAGAGACAGTTAGTTACCTCACCTCTGTGTAAGTGTTCTAGAGAGACAGTTACCTCACCTCTGTGTAAGTGTTCTAGAGAGACAGTTAGTTACTAGAGAGACAGTCACCTCTGTGTGTAAGTGTTCTAGAGAGACAGTTACCTCACCTCTGTGTAAGTATTCTAGAGAGACAGTTAGTTACCTCACCTCTGTGTAAGTATTCTAGAGAGACAGTTAGTTACCTCACCTCTGTGTAAGTGTTCTAGAGAGACAGTAAGTCACCTCTATGTAAGTGTTCTAGAGAGACAGTTAGTTACCTCACCTCTGTGTAAGTGTTCTAGAGAGACAGTTACCTCACCTCTATGTAAGTGTTCTAGAGAGACAGTTACCTCACCTCTATGTAAGTGTTCTAGAGAGACAGTTACCTCACCTCTATGTAAGTATTCTAGAGAGACAGTTAGTTACCTCACCTCTGTGTAAGTGTTCTAGAGAGACAGTTACCTCACCTCTATGTAAGTGTTCTAGAGAGACAGTTACCTCACCTCTGTGTAAGTATTCTAGAGAGACAGTTACCTCACCTCTGTGTAAGTATTCTAGAGAGACAGTTACCTCACCTCTGTGTAAGTGTTCTAGAGAGACAGTTACCTCACCTCTATGTAAGTGTTCTAGAGAGACAGTTACCTCACCTCTGTGTAAGTATTCTAGAGAGACAGTTACCTCACCTCTGTGTAAGTGTTCTAGAGAGACAGTTACCTCACCTCTGTGTAAGTATTCTAGAGAGACAGTTAGTTACCTCACCTCTGTGTAAGTATTCTAGAGAGACAGTTACCTCACCTCTGTGTAAGTGTTCTAGAGAGACAGTTAGTTACCTCACCTCTGTGTAAGTATTCTAGAGAGACAGTTACCTCACCTCTGTGTAAGTGTTCTAGAGAGACAGTTAGTTACCTCACCTCTGTGTAAGTGTTCTAGAGAGACAGTTAGTTACCTCACCTCTGTGTAAGTATTCTAGAGAGACAGTTAGTTACCTCACCTCTGTGTAAGTGTTCTAGAGAGACAGTTACCTCACCTCTGTGTAAGTGTTCTAGAGAGACAGTTAGTTACCTCACCTCTGTGTAAGTGTTCTAGAGAGACAGTTACCTCACCTCTGTGTAAGTATTCTAGAGAGACAGTTACCTCACCTCTGTGTAAGTGTTCTAGAGAGACAGTTAGTTACCTCACCTCTGTGTAAGTGTTCTAGAGAGACAGTTAGTTACCTCACCTCTGTGTAAGTATTCTAGAGAGACAGTTAGTTACCTCACCTCTGTGTAAGTGTTTGCTGTTTGCTAGACAGTAACCAAACACAGCAGATGCTTGTTTAATTGATAGTGGGCATACACAGAAAGAGAGAGAAAACTGATTGCACTGGCAACAAATGTGGGGTTAATGGCTTATAGTTTTCTGCCTGTCTGTGTTTTCTGACACCTAGTTTCTAGTTCAGTATTAATATCATACACAGTTACTGGTAGAAGCAGTCTACACGCTGCTTCTTCTCCTTCACCAACCCACAGTTTGATCCTGTGCTGTATTGGCAATAAAAACACAGACATTCAGGCTGACCTCAAGGAGTGGGTGAAGGTAAGGGGTGTCCTGTCGTGGGTCCGATTATGAATCCCTGGTTTCATGAAACCCATGAAGAGAAGTCACTCTCCATATTACTTTCTAGCTGTGTGAATTACGCAGATGAAGTCACCGGTTTGAAACCATGTCTCAGAAATTCGCAGAGTTGTAACACATGTATTTAATTTTCCTGTAAGTTGTAACACAGGTATTTAGTTTTTCTCTGAGTTGTAACACAGGTATTTGGTTTTTCTCTGAGTTGTAACACAGGTATTTAATTGTCTGCCGAGTTGTAACATACGTATTTAGTTTTCCTCTGAGTTGTAACACAAGTATTCAATTTTCCTCTGAGTTGTATGTAACACAGGTATTCAATTTTCCTCTTAGTTGTGACACAGGAAATCTATTTTCCTATGAGTTGTAACACAGGTAATCAATTTTTATCTGAATTGTAACACAGGCAATAAATTTTCCTAACACGGGTATTTAATTTTCATCCAAGTTGGAAACTACATTTCATGGTCAAGTGAGTTAGCCGTCTCATCACACACAATCTGGACCTCATGTGTGTGAATCCCTGTATTCTGAACCATCAGTTTAAAGCTGGCTTGATGGAGATCTCTAAATAAAGTTTTACATGGCCTAACTTTGGAGGGCTACCTGTGTGTAGAAACAGAGGTCGTGGATCTCACGGACAGTTTTTCAACAGACACATCACTAGGACTAGGATCTCAGTTGAGATCTCTGCGGAACTAATCAAAGTTGCAGGCACGACCTGACAACATAAACATGGACATTGGTGAAGGAAAACACAGAGGTCATGCCAGTTGAAAGATTGGATGTATAAACAGGGTTTGGAATGTAACACAACTTGAGTGTGGACAGTTGGGTTTCCTCTAATGAAAGAATTCATGCAGAGACTTAACAGAGATCCCAAGGGAGGTCTTTCCCACACATCCCACCCTGTGTTTCTTTCCCACACATCCCACCCAATGTTTCTTTCCCACACATCCCACCCTGTGTTTCTTTTCCACACATCCCACCCAGTGTTTCTCTTCCACACATTCCACCCAATGTTTCTCTTCCAAACATCCCACCCATTGTTTCTTTCCCACACATCCCACCCAGTATTTCTTTCCCACACATCCCACCCAGTGTTTCTCTTCCACACATCCCACTCAGTGTTTCTTTCCCACACATCCCACCCAGTGTTTCTCTTCCACACATCCCACCCAGTGTTTCTCTTCCACACATCCCACCCAGTGCTTCTCTTCCACACATCCCACCCAGTGCTTCTTTCCCACACATCCCACCCAGTGTTTCTCTTCCACACATCCCACCCAGTGCTTCTTTCCCACACATCCCACCCAGTGTTTCTCTTCCACACATCCCACCAAGTGTTTCTCTTCCACACATCCCACCCAGTGTTTCTCTTCCACACATCCCACCTGATGTTTCTTTTCCACACATCCCACCCAGTGTTTCTTTCCCACACATCCCACCCAGTGTTTCTTTCCCACACATCCCACCCAGTGTTTCTTTCCCACACATCCCACCCAGTGTTTTTCTTCCACACATTCCACCCAGTGTTTTTCTTCCACACAATGTTTCTCTTCCACACATCCCACCCAGTGTTTCTTTCCCACACATCCCACCCAGTGTTTCTCTTCCACACATCCCACCCAGTGTTTCTCTTCCTCACATCCCACCCAGTGTTTCTCTTCCTCACATCCCACCCAGTGTTTCTCTTCCTCACATCCCACCCAGTGTTTCTCTTCCTCACATCCCACCCAGTGTTTCTCTTCCACACATCCCACCCAGTGTTTCTTTCCCACACATCCCACCCAGTGTTTTTCTTCCACACATTCCACCCAATGTTTATCTTCCACACATCCCACCCAGTGTTTCTCTTCCACACATCCCACCCAGTGTTTCTCTTCCACACATCCCACCCAGTGTTTCTCTTCCACACATCCCACCCAGTGTTTTTCTTCTACACAACCCACACAATGTTTCTTTTCCACACATTCCACCTAGTGTTTCTCTTCCAAACAACCCACCCAGTGTTTCTCTTACACACAACCCACCCAGTGTTTCTCTTACACACAACCCACACAATGTTTCTCTTACACACAACCCACACAATGTTTCTCTTCCACACATCCCACCCAGTGTTTCTCTTACACACAACCCACACAATGTTTCTCTTCCACACATCCCACCCAGTGTTTCTCTTCCACACATCCCACTCAGTGTTTCTCTTCCACACATCTGACCCAGTGTTTCTCTTCCACACATCCTACACAGACCTCAGCCAAATGATTCTCTTTCACACATTGCACCATGCAGATATCTGAATAATGGTAGTGGTTTGGTTTAATTGGCAGTTGTACTGCTATAGGTATCTATAAAAGATTTCAACAGCCTTTGTATGTGTCATTTATTAGAACCCATATATTTACAACGGCACAAGAAAAGGCCACATACTTCTCCATGATGTCAGGGCTCCAGACAAGGGACGATACAATGTGATGATGAAACAAACTCCTGGAGTGGGATGTTTGAGACTTCTGAAGGATGAGAACTATCTGCTAGCAAGTGACTTCTCTGGCAAGGTAAGTGTCGTGTGACTTTCTCCATCTAGTGCTGCTGGTGTCAAGAGCTATCAAGGTACCTGGGCACAGGGTGAGGATAGTTGACGTCTAGGCCACTGGTTCATAAATCATTGCTAGTTAGCAGAATCAGCTGAGAATCTTGTAACAGAAATCAACAGTTATACTTGCTCACTGCCATTGGTTGTGCTTTCCTGTGAAAGGTACTCTTTTGACTGGTTACCTTTGGCACAAGACATTCCCATGGAGAGTCTCCACAGCACCACCAGACATCTCCCTGGGTGGTCTCCAGGGCCCCACCAGACATCCCCATGGAGAGTCTCCACAGCACCACCAGACATCTCCCTGGGTGGTCTCCAGGGCCCCACCACACATCTCCCTGGGTGGTCTCCAGGGCCCCACCAGACATCTCCCTGGGTGGCTCCAGGGCCCCACCAGACATCTCCCTGGGTGGTCTCCACAGCACCACCACACATCTCCCTGGGTGGTCTCCAGGGCCCCCACCAGACATCTCCCTGGGTGGTCTCCATGCCCCCACCAGACATCTCCCTGGGTGGCTCCATGGCCCCACCAGACATCTCCCTGGGTGGTCTCCAGGGCCCCCACCAGACATCTCCCTGGGTGGTCTCCAGGGCCCCCACCAGACATCTCCCTGGGTGGTCTCCAGGGCCCCCACCAGACATCTCCCTGGGTGGTCTCCAGGGCCCCCACCAGACATCTCCCTGGGTGATCTCCAGGCCCCCACATGGGGGATAGACCCTCAGCCCCTCAATAAGCATCTTGTCAGTGGCAACTAGTGAAGGATTTGTTGGACTGAAAGGTGCAGAGGTCATGACCTAGCTATCAACCACACAACACAACATGCCCCCACCGCCCCCCCTTATAAATCTGACTGCAGGTGGGGGACAGGTACTCGATCCTGATAGCTTTTACTTCATAATTGCCTGAGTGTCCGCCATTGGTCAGTTCTGATTTATTGTAGACAGTAGCTGACCATTGTCCATGTTGCATCTCTGCTATAACTGATCTCATGACAAAAGCATGCTGACCGCCTCTGGCCAAGAACCCCATTTCTATGCCATTTTGACAGCTCTGGTCCAGGCCTCTGTTTCCATGCTGTCTTGATAGCCTCTGGTCCAGGTCTCAGTTTCTATGCTGTCTTGATAGCCTCTGGTCCAGGCCTCTGTTTCCATGCTGTCTTGACAGCCTCTGGTCCAGGCCTCTGTTTCCATGCTGTCTTGATAGCCTCTGGTCCAGGCCTCTGTTTCCATGTGGTCCTGACAGCCTCTGGTCCAGGCCTCTGTTTCAGTGCGGTCCTGACAGATTGCACTTGTGGAAGTCAACCTATGTTTTCTTCTCTCATTGTATCAGCATCATGCTAGCCAGCTTGGCCCAGAAAACATTTCCTGCTCTGTTGTGGAGCTTTATGTCCATGAAAACATTCTAGCTTTGTCAGGATTTGAACATAGGTCCAGGGGGCTGGGAGACAATAGCTACATGACATAATAACTCATTGTTGATAGAAAAAGGCAGCTTGATGAATGGCACATACATCTGTTCGGTCTGAGGAGAGTTCTACTGCTTATTTGTTTATGTTGTTTCTGATTGTTGTCACAGATTTGCACCTGGGACCAGAGGATGAGGAAGATAGTGATGGAGTACAGCGGCCTGATGAACTCTCACTGGCAGCTTGCCTTCTCTGTGGATGAGACAGAAACAGTCCTCACCAGTAGTAAGTTCAGCCTTAGCTGTCTCTGTAGCTACTTTGTTTGTCCTTTGGTTTCAGATGGCAGGCTGCTGTAGTTTTTGTTACGTCATACTGATTGTATATTGTCCCTGTGTTAGATGGCTGATTCTGTAGTTGATGTTGTGCACATATTAGTTATCATTCGTTTTCTCAGATCTGGGTTTATTCAGTCATTATCTGTCAGAGCCATAAGTATCAGTGTAAAGCCTGTCACTGTTTGTGCCTGCTTGTTGTCTTGATGACTTACCTATCAGTGTAAAGTCTGCCACTGTTTGTGTCTGCTTGTTGTCTTGATGACTTACCTATCAGTGTAAAGTCTGCCACTGTTTGTGTCTGCTTGTTGTCTTGATGACTTACCTATCAGTGTAAAGTCTGCCACTGTTTGTGCCTGCTTGTTGTCTCAATGACTCACATATCAGTGTAAAGTCTGCCACTGTTTGTGTCTGCTTGTTGTCTTGATGACTTACCTATCAGTGTAAAGTCTGCCACTGTTTGTGCCTGCTTGTTGTCTCAATGACTCACGTATCAGTGTAAAGTCTGCCACTGTTTGTGTCTGCTTGTTGAATCGATGACTCACATATCAGTGTAAAGTCTGCCACTTTTTGTGTCTGCTTGTTGTCTTAATGACTCACGTATCAGTGTAAAGTCTGCCACTGTTTGTGTCTGCTTGTTGAATCGATGACTCACGTATCAGTGTAAAGTCTGCCACTGTTTGTGTCTGCTTGTTGAATCGATGACTCACGTATCAGTGTAAAGTCTGCCACTGTTTGTGTCTGCTTGTTGAATCGATGACTCACGTATCAGTGTAAAGCCTGCCACTGTTTCTGTCGGCTTGTTGTCTTGATGACTCATGTATCAGTGTAAAGCCTGCCACTGTTTCTGTCGGCTTGTTGTCTTGATGACTCATGTATCAGTGTAAAGCCTGCCACTGTTTCTGTCGGCTTGTTGTCTTAGTGACTCATGTATCAGTGTAAAGCCTGCCACTGTTTGTGTCTGCTTGTTGAATCGATGACTACAAACCACAGACCTACCAGCCACTATCTTTTCCAGAAGTCAAAACTCTCATTAAGAGAAAATCAGAAACAGATTGGAAAACCAACACTGGTTATAACTACGGAAAAGATTTTCTGAAACACTTGAACAGAACAGACCAAGTCACAGTTTTTCGCTTACGCACTGGACACTGCAGACTCAATAAACACTCATATAAATTAGGTATGAGCCAAACAGCTCTCTGCCAGTGCCTTCGTGCTGAACAGACTCCAGAACATGTCCTGCAAGACTGTCCTCTCCTGGCGGAGCTGCGGAGCGACATATGGCAACACCCAGTAGAACTGACAACTAAGCTTTCGGGAAACCTAAGAGACCTTGAAAAGACATCCCAGTTTATGACCCACAGTGGATTATGCGCATGACCAGAGATCGCTGAAGAAGAGAATTGATGACTCATGTATCAGTGTAAAGACATGGCCATTCTGTGTTCATGCCGACAGTATAAACAACCTCCACACAGTGGCTGTGGAATTAATACTTTCTCCATCTGACCCCTTGTTTGTCACCACGTGTCAACAGGGTCTTGTGAAAGGTGCACAGACTATCCATTTTCTGTTAATTTCTCCACACAATTTATATGGTTTTTTGAAAATGTACAGCTCTTTAGTTTTTGTACAACCTTCAAGCTTTCAGCAACAGGTGTTCCTACCATGTAGTCCTGCCCTGACCAGACCACAGCCTGCTGTGAGATACCTGTCACTTACCAAGTTGCTAGCTTATATTATAGAATCATTGATGTAAAGTGCTTGGTCATAGCAGCCTCTCTGTGAACGTAGGCTCTGTTCAAATAGATTGAATGTTGGAACCACCAGCATCAGCTGTCTGTTGGTCATGAATATGATTTCTGTCCTCAACTTGAGTAAAAAGTGCCCGAGCAGAGAGCACTGGGGTCAATAGTCAACAAGTTGTGCTTTCATTTTTCTTGACCAGCTCTCTCTGATAGTGACCTTTGACCTTTGTTGTTGTTGTTGTTGCCTGCTGTTATCTAGCCAATGTATTGTTAGATAATTGTTGACAGGAGGATACATGGGTGGGGGGGGGGGATACAGGGAGGCACAGAGAGAAGATGTACAGTTGTGTAGAGATATCAGTCAATGAAGTAGTACACTTGTTAGAAAACTGAGAATGTTGAGAGGCATGCTGACCTCTTGACAGTCCACATGATGCTAAAGTGGCTACAAGATTGTTACAATGATATGCCTATACTCTGCAATCTAAACCAGTCTTTATGGATCTGCCTATGGCTAAGGCAGAAACAACAACAGATGTAGATATAGATATTTATGTGCCACTTCCAGAATGGAATGGATCCCTAGTGCAGCTGCTTCTGTGTTTGAGAATGTTACGCTGTGAGGTCCCAGTTCGGTCCACCGTGTCACTTGAGTTCCTGTGTCTCAAAGCCAGGAAACAATCTTTCTGGAAATACCATGTCATAGAAATCTATTGCTGGTACATCAAAGATTGAATTGTGAACTGAGTTCATTAATCTGTAAGCCACGGAGCCACACTAAATGTAGACAGTATGTGATGTATTAGATTGAGTGATTTTAGTTTGTAGTGTGACATTTGCTGCTAGTTACAGGTAAAACAGTCCTAATATCTCTGGCTGAAGCATTGTTGACTGACATGGCCTATATATTAGGTACTACACTGTTGCCTGCAGCATCTCCTTAGCTGCGCACTAGTGTGGCACCTGGATGATTTGGCAGACAACCTGAACATGTCCACAGGCCAACACTGGTTGAAGAACACTGCTATAAAGGGGCATTATTGGGCTGTATGTAGTGTGGCAGTTGTTGGAGAGTGCATCATTGACAGACCTGACAGTTGACAGTTGTTACTTCCTCCATTTCAGCTGGTTCTGACAGTTACACCAAGATCTGGGACATGAAAACTGGACAAGTGCTGCGTAGCATTCCACCACCCTACCCAGTGTCCTGTGATAGCTTCCCCTTGTCTTTCTATTCAACTCGTTGGGGAAACAAGGATGGAAATAATGCTTTATTGCTGGCCATGAGGAATAGTTTCTCATTTTATACTTACACAGAAACTGTCCAGTGATGAAATGGGTTGTCCCAGCATGACAGCAGTTGGAAATCAGTGGTGGTGATAAAGTGCTACAACATGGGGCACAGGAGCACACCTCTCTAACGCTAGAGACATTTCCCACCGACACTGTTGGTGAGGAACCCGACTACAGCTGAGGACAGATGCTGGAATCAGTGGTGGTGATAAAGTGCTACAAGAAGATGGCCAACATTGGGCATAGGAGCACACCTCTCTAACACTAGAGACTGATCCCAGCGACACTGTTGGTGAGGAACCCGACTACAGCTGAGGACAGATGCTGGAATCAGTCAAGTTTTCTAACACTGGGAGTGCCATGGAAACTTGCTTTGTTGAAGATGTAACCATGGATGGACAGAGCAGCTGGTAATGTTTTCATTGCTGCTTCTACCTGAGGGTCTGCCATCGTGTAGCAAGTGGCACCATACAGAGCCCTGAGCATGTACACGGGTGTCATGACTGGGGCACTAGGGAAGGAGGAGAGGACACATCTGAGTGTCTGTACACTCCAACAGTTGGCATCATGTTGGAATCAACTGAAGTCTCAGCGTCACAGTTACAACCAGCCAGTTATCAGTTGTATATAAGTTTCATATAATACAAATATATAACAGATGGATATTGTTCTGTGCTCACTTTATGTTCTAGCTTTTGGTCAGGCTGTGAGAGACAGGTGCTGTTGGATGTCTTTATTCATGCCTAGACTTTTGCTAGTTTGGTTGGTTTCATACATGTTTACTACCACAGTGTTCCGTGGAATCTAGACTACAAGACTTGGTCACTCAGAAATGCAAACATTGCACAATATAAGTTATTTGTTATCCTTTACAGGAGGTTGCAGAATCACACACACACACACACACACTCACAGATGCTGGACAGTCATATACAAATTGAAATACAAATGTGGTGACTACCATACAGACTTACAAACACTAACATACAGTTAGTTGTATAAGAAACACAAGTGAATTAGATCAGTTGGGTTTGTGTATTCATTTAAGTACAAAAATTATCAATGACATGGTAGATTCAGCATGCAACCACAGTGTGTGAAATAATTGATGAGAGAATCAGTTATACAAACACAAATAGAAATCAGCCACATGCGAAACAGATATATCATTCATTGTGTATGTGCCTTTACAAATGCTTGTATTTTCAAAAATTTCTTGGGAATTACTTACCCTGAGCTTCTATTTTCATCTCAGCGTTCATATTTTATATGTAAATATTATTTAGGTTGCCCAGTTGTAACAGAACGGATATTTTCTTTGTTATGTTCATCACTTGTATAATTTTAGTTAGGTTACAAAACAAAATGTTACAGTACTGGTGTGAATTATCGTGGCCACAAGTTACGCCCTTACAGCTTGTGCTGAAACTTGGAAATGATCAACAAACTCATTTCATAGTGGACTGGACACTTTCACTGCAATAGTTGTGGTCTCTTATTCACAATAAACATGTGTTTTGTGACTAGTTCATTTGAACTTTGTGCTTTATAACTCATGAAAGGCAATCCCTGCATATTTTGATATTTTGAATAAGTAAAATGCATCCCAGTGACTTATAATGCAGGTCCAAAATGAGCCATATTGTTGTTAATGAAGTAATTACTCAATTATTTCATCCATTTATATTCCACCAATTCTGAGATTATTTTTTCGTTTTAATATCAGCACGAATTTGTAAACGCACTTTAGCAAGCAGTCTAAACTTCAGATCTGTATGAATTGAGCAGATACTACTGACATGCACTGAAAGTAATTGAGATATGGAAAGTGTTGTTGATATCAATGAACATTACTTAGGGAGCACACAGTGAAAGATGGAAGTGCATGAACCAATGGAGGCAAGTAAATCAAGTAATCAGACACTGTTTATAGCAACAATTCTGAAATAGGAAAAGTGAGAGAAATTATGTTTTCTGTATCTTGCCAGTTTGTAGAGGAAGAAAATATAATAACTGAGGTTGCAGCAGTTGTAACCATAAATGGATTGCAATGACCAACATACACAGCCTAGTGCCTGCTGGACTTTCCAAGAGTTGTCTCTGTGCTGACATATTCCATGTCTTGTAACAGACAGGCAGACACACTTCTGTTACACGTCACAGTGTGAGCGACAGAAACAAAACACACTTGTAGCCTTCTGTCCTAGTTTGTTCTGTGAAGAATCTTGAAGAGATGTAGTTGTACCGCCTTACACACTTTGCATCAAATATTATGAAGAATAAAATGTATCAATAACAAAAGTCAACATCCACAATTGCTGTGAAAATTATGAGTGTGTTGTATGTATAAGTAAAAAAAAATATGATCAATGACTGATGTATATTTTATCACACAACTGGACATTGTAGTCACTGATTGGCTGCTTGCATGACTGTCAATGATTGGCTGCTATCATTTCTTGAAATTCATTGATTGGCTGTGCCAGGATTTCAGTGATAGACTGCTACCATGAATGGTAATCAGTGATTGGCTATCCTTGGTGGTGGTCAAAGAGTGGATGATGTCATGTTGGGCAGGGCTGCAGGTTGAACTACAAATGTGTGTCTGTAAACACTGTTTGCTCTTTAGTGTAGCTGTAAGTCTGCCCACTGTTGCTGTTACTGTCATCATCCAGGTCATCAAACTGTTGAGGACCAAACAGTTAGTAAAATCAATCAGAAATACTGAGTCACTTCAAAACATTAACAGTCACTTTAAAACACTGGTTCAACTAAGGACAAGTCAGCAGTGATGAAGATTGAGAACATTTACAGTCACTTTAAAACACTGGTTCAGCTAAGGACACATCAGCAGTGCTGAAGATTGAGAACATTTAGTCACTTTAAAATACTGGTTCAGCTAAGGACAAGTCAGCAGTGCTAAAGATTGAGAACATTTACAGTCACTTTAAAACACTGGTTCAGCTAAGGACACATCAGCAGTGATAAAGATTGAGAACATTTAGTCACTTTAAAACACTGGTTCAGCTAAGGACACATCAGCAGTGCTGAAGATTGAAAACATTTAGTCACTTTAAAACACTTGTTCAGCTAAGGACACATCAGCAGTGCTGAAGATTGAAAACATTTACAGTCACTTTAAAACACTGGTTCAGCTAAGGACACATCAGCAGTGCTGAAGATTGAGAACATTTAGACTTTAAAACACTTGTTCAGCTACAGTCACTTTAAAAAAACACTGGTTCAGCTAAGGACACATCAGCAGTGCTGAAGATTGAGAACATTTACATTTTAAAACAGTTCACTTCAGCAGTGCTGAAGATTGAGAAACAAAACACTGGTTCAGCTAAGGACACATCAGCAGTGCTGAAGATTGAGAACATTTACAGTCACTTTAAAACACTGGTTCAGCTAAGGACACATCAGCAGTGCTGAAGATTGAGAACATTTAGTCACTTTAAAATACTGGTTCAGCTAAGGACACATCAGCAGTGCTGAAGGTTGAAAACATTAACAGTCACTTTAAAATACTGGTTCAGCTAAGGACAAGTCAGCAGTGATGAAAATTGAAAACATTTACAGTCACTTTAAAACACTGGTTCAGCTAAGGACACATCAGCAGTGCTGAAGATTGAGAACATTTACAGTCACTTTAAAACACTGGTTCAGCTAAGGGCACATCAGCAGTGCTGAAGATTGAGAACATTTAGTCACTTTAAATACTGGTTCAGCTAAGGGACACATCAGCGGTGCTGAAGATTGAGAACATTTAGTCACTTTAAAACACTGGTTCAGCAAAGGACACATCAGCAGTGCCTAAGATTTTTAAAAGTGTCCATGTTTGGCACTGATAGCATAGTGTTGGCCAAAAAATAGTTCTGATAAGATTCACTTTAGTACTCTTGGGTAAGTGATTGTGTGTCAACAGAGGAGGTAGTTGCCCCATTACTTGATTAGCTTTGGCACATTTTGAGCTAATTTCTCTGTCCAGTTTTACGTTGGATGCGAAAATTGCTCTCACATACCTGAATTCCTCTGTCTTAAACATTGTCTTGCAAGTTCTTCATTCCTGTTTCTCATGCCTTTGATGTTTTTTAAGTTTTTCACTGCTATTCTTTCTTCTTCAGCCAGCTTGCTTCCAAACTTTACCCATGAATCTCTTTTTGCTTGTCTGATAGTTCTATCTACTTCTCTTCTAATGATTCTTGTATGTTATCTAATCCTCTTCTGTTCTGATCCTCAGCCAAATGCCATAGGCTTTCTTTTTATTGCTCACAATTCTTCTGATTTCTTCAGACCACCATGTTGAGAGCTTACGCCCTATGTTACATTTCCTTTTAGTTCCACATATTTCTTGTGCTATTTTCATAGTGGTGTCTCTGAAATTCACCCATTCTGTATTTACCCCAAGTGTGTTTTAAGAAGCTGTTCCTAATTTTCCTGTAATTTTTGCTGAAATGCTCACCTATTTTCTTCACACTCTAGTTCTTTCCATTTTATTATGTCACTTTTATGGCATTTCTTTTTTGTTTGAAAACTTATCTTGACTTTTCTGTCAAGTATCACCATCCTATGATGTGTATCTAAACTCAAGTTTGGTATCTCCAATCTGTAACTTCAAGAAAGTCTCTTTTTCTCCTCAGGATGTAATTAGTCTGACTCTTATTATCTGGATCATTCCATTAATACCATGTAAAAACTTATGAAGCTCTATGTTGAGAGAAAGTGTTGGTGATAACAAGGTCATGTTGTGCACATATATCCAACAGTCTTTCCCCATTTTCATTTCTAATGCTGTTGTCTCCATAATTGCCTAGGTATCTTGTCAATGTTCTTCTGTCTCGTCCTGTCTCACCGTTAAAATCACCCATCAGGATCAGCTTCTCGTTATTATCTATCTTACAAATTTCCTCATCCAGGTCCTTAAAGAATTGATCTAAATCCTCCTCACTGTAATTTCTATTGCAAGCAGCATATATTTGAAGAAAAAAAACTCTGAATTATTTTCTACTTGTAATTTCAAGCTTATAATTCATTCCGAGATGTAGTTAACTTCAAGTATATTTTTGTGCAGTTTCGGGATCGATGACAAATCCTACTCCATGCTTTCCACGATGTATTTCCTCTGCTGCCGATTGAATCAAAACATTATTTTTATGTAGTTTCTTCATTCCTCTTGCTTTCATTCTCACTTCTGATAAGCCTAATACTTTAACATTATATTTCTCCATTAATTCGATCACTTGTTCTTCTTTATTGCCCCATCCACATATACTGATTGTCCCTACCCTGGTCTTAACCTTCTGCTGGCCTCTATTTTCCATATTTCTAAAACATCTATTTTCATCACACAGATAGGGTTACAATATGTAATTCTTTAAAAATATGGAATAGATTAATGATTTCTCCAGCACCATTTATTAAAACAGTGACATGAAGTTAATGCGTCTGTTTCTCTAGAACAATATAAAATAATGTGCCTAGTTCTACAGAACAGTAACAATATAAAATAATGTGCCTAGCTCCACAGAACAGTAACAATATAAAATAATTTACCTAGCTCCACAGAACAGTAACAATATAAAATAATGTGCCCAGCTCCACAGAACAGTAACAATATAAAATAATGTGCCTAGCTCCACAGAACAGTAACAATATAAAATAATTTACCTAGCTCCACAGAACAGTAACAATATAAAATATTGTGCCCAGCTCCACAGAACAGTAACAATATAAAATAATGTGCTTAGCTCCACAGAACAGTAACAATAAAATAATGTGCCTAGCTCAACAGAACAGTAACAATATAAAACAATGTGCCTAGCTCCACAGAACAGTAACAGTATAAAACAATGTGCCTAGCTCCACAGAACAGTAACAATATAAAACAATGTGTCTGGCTCCACAGAACAGTAACAATATAAATAATTTGCCTAGCTCCACAGAACAGTAACAATATAAAATAATGTGCCTAGCTCCACAGAACAGTAACAATATAAAATAATGTGCCTAGCTCCACAGAACAGTAACAATATAAAATAATTTACCTAGCTCCACAGAACAGTAACAATATAAAACAATGTGCCTAGCTCCACAGAACAGTAACAATATAAAATCATAGTTGGAAGAAAAAAATAATAATATATGAATATCCAGGCTACTATCGTCAAGAAGACAAACTTACCAGTCCACTGTCAAAATGCTTTCCCCATCGAGGATCATCTTCATCATCATCATCAATATACTTGGCAGTTGGCCAACTGATCTTGGTGGGTGAAATCCTGGCTAGTTCTCCGTCTTGAGAGAAAGCAGGGTTGATCACTCCAATGCCTGGTCCCTGATAAACATTGTCTTTGTATCGCTTTTTTCCTGATGTAAATCCCTGGTTTGTAAAAAAAAAAAATGTACATGAAGTGAATTCAGTGTCAGTGACACTGCCTTTGACAGACTGATATAGACACTGATACAGTATTATGATTGTCAAGGATGCCTCTGACATCAGTGACACATGAGGCTGAGCTGATATTTGTATAGACCAATTGGCATTGGATATGGTCAGTTTCAGGCTGGCCACCTTTACTTCCCATGGTTCGATCTGAAAGCCAAAGTCACCTGTAGATATAAGAAAGGCAAAGACTCGCAGCAGACAGTTGTAGTCAGTGGTCACTACTGAACAGCCAGTACAAAGGACTGTGGTCAGTTCTTGCCAAACACACAGGTGTTTACAGACAAGATGGTCAGTTCCTGTCACTAGGTTTGTATCCCGTGTGATTCTGTCTCTCTACACAGTGACCTGGCTACTTGCTAAAGGTGTGCAACAAGCATGAAACTGATGCCTCAGGGATCTCCAAAGTTCTAAACTGACTCTCACATGGACTAACTACAGGCAAGTTGTGTTATGTACATCAGTCACCTGTGGCATCTACAGCTGGCAGCCAAAAATGTCTGGTTTCAGCAAACCACTTTATGATGTACTTGTAAGGGGAGAAGACCCATACAACTGGCCCTTTACCTACAGACACTGTTTCCTACCCTCACTGATGTTGATCATTTCCCGCCCAAATTTTGGCTCATAGGTCACCTCCTGACTTGACTAAATGCAACTATAGTTTCATAGTGGATAAAAGACAGGGGTCCTTGTCCCTTGTGATAGGCGTATAAAAACAACACAAATGGGTGGGTGGGGGGGGGGGGTGACATCACAGAACTGTAACTAACATGAGATAACTTGTGAAGGTCAAGTGACATTATCACAGAACTGTAACTAACATGAGATAACTTGTGAAGGTCAAGTGACATTATCACAAAACTGTAACTAACATGAGATAATTTGTGAAGGTCAAATGACATTATCACAGAACTATAACTAACATGAGATAACTTGTGAAGGTTAAGTGACATTATCACAGCACTGTAACTAACATGAGATAACTTGTGAAGGTTAAGTGACATTATCACAGAACTGTAACTAACATGAGATAACTTGTGAAGGTTAAATGACATTATCACATAAATGTAACTAGCATGAGATAACTTGTGAAGGTTAAGTGACATTATCACAGAACTGTAACTAACATGAGATAACTTGTGAAGGTTAAGTGACATTATCACAGAACTGTAACTAACATGAGATAACTTGTGAAGGTTAAGTGACATTATCACAGAACTGCAACTAACATGAGATAACTTGTGAAGGTTAAGTGACATTATCACAGAACTGTAACTAACATGAGATAACTTGTGAAGGTTAAGTGACATTATCACAGAACTGTCACTAACATGAGATAACTTGTGAAGGTTTAAAGCCAACTTACATTTTCATGGATAATGCTGCCATCTCTAGAATCTACAACATACAAGTCTCTGCGAGTGAGCCTGTCCCGTGATGGCTGATGTAGCGGCATCCTCTCTCGCATGTAGGGCCGCCGGGAGCCGCAGCGCCAGATACAGATGACCAGTATCAGGAACAAGATGATGAGAGCCAGGACACACATGAGGGCTATGAACCAGATCTCCTGATAGAAGGGAGTTGCACTTGCTGATGCTGGAGCCGGGGGCTTCGGGGTGGTGCCTGTTCAACAGCAACGATACATTCAATGGAGAAAATAGTTGTCAGAAGATACATGACTGCCTACATTTACATGTTTAATGGGGGTCAGGGGTTGCACAGTGGCCAACGTGCCAGCCTATCGGCCTGCCAGATGCTCATATGTTAGAATCTCCACTGAGGGACGACTGTTAAACTAACGTAGGCTCCTAAAATGGACACCAGACAGTGTTCTGTAGGTTTGTGTGGCCCACCTGTGTGAGCACATCTTGCAGTGAGTGTGCATGGCTCTGTGAAAACATGGCTAGCACCATACACCAAACACACCTGCAGCCATCAACAAGGACTCTGTGCTAGGGTTGTTTGGCTCCAGGGATTGTGTCAGTGACCTGGGATGTCGGGTTACTCCATTCTATGATGGAAATGTCCTAGAAGATGAAGGCAGCCAAAGCAGTGTTGCCCACATCACACAGGAAGTGCTGAATGGTCTCACCATTGTTTTTTCAAGCTTTTTTCTTTCAGGACTGTAGTCTGTAGGATTAACATTTCAAAATCAAACCATTACAAATCAGGAAAACCTCATTTAACCATATAACACATTTATACCGGCACACAACATCATAAACAGGTGTTCTTTACTTACTTATGTAAACATGTGTATATGCTCAAACATCTCTCTCTCTCTCTCTCTCCTTCTCTCTCCCCTTCTCTCTCTCTCTCTCTCTCTCTCTCTCTCTCTCTCTCTCTCTCTCTCTCTCTCCTTCTCTCTCCCGTTCTCTCTCTCTCTCTCTCTCTCTCTCTCTCTCTCTCTCTCTCTCTCTCTCTCTCTCTCTCTCTCTCTCTCTCTCTCTCTCTCTCTCTCTCTCTCTCTCTTTCTCTCTGGTGTACGTATACATTTCTCTTGCACGTGGACATATGCATGAAAAGATCTATTTAAGGATCATTACCACTCTAAGCTACATGTGCTCCCTGTCATTGGCTGGTCCGATCAATATCAGCTGACAGTGATTATTTACTTTTCACATTTTCCTCAAGCAAACTAGACAAATTGTTATTTTTGCTTCAGACAGCGCTTTGCTAATGCAGCTTCCACATATGGACGGTAGTCTACGGTTTTGCTGCCTGAGCTACTGAGTTTAGCGCTTGGTGCAGGCCTGTGAGCTGTGTTTGTCATTGGGAATACCTTTGATTTGTGCAGCTGCTGTGTCATGGTATTCAATATGGCCGGTTTGCATGTGAGCTGGTGACATACCTTATGTAACAAATTTTCACGTGTATGGCCAACTTATCGTGCCCGATTACTTCCATCAACGACAAACTGCATTTCTGGTGGCGACAGTTGGCTTTGGCATCTCTAAAAACTGCCATAAGTATTTACTCTGTTCACATATTTTTGGATTGTGTCGGGACTAACTGTTTGTTCAACAGTTGTTCAAATAGGACAGTAGGGACATTTCATTTGATTTTCTCTGGCACAGGAATGGATCAAGTCTGGGGAAACCCGACTGCAGTGAACTTGGAACCTAGACTAAGATGGGGAAACCCGACTGCAGTGAACTTGGAATCTAGACTAAGATAGGGAAACCTGACTGTAGTGAACTTGGAACCTAGACTAAGATGGGGAAACCCGACTGCAGTGAACTTGGAATCTAGACTAAGATAGGGAAACCTGACTGCAGTGAACTTGGAATCTAGACTAAGATGGGGAAACCTGACTGCAGTGAACTTGGAATCTAGACTAAGATAGGGAAACCCGACTGCAGTGAACTTGGAACCTAGACTAAGATGGGGAAACCTGACTGTAGTGAACTTGGAACCTAGACTAAGATGGGGAAACCTGACTGCAGTGAACTTGGAATCTAGACTAAGATGGGGAAACCTGACTGCAGTGAACTTGGAATCTAGACTAAGATGGGGAAACCTGACTGCAGTGAACTTGGAATCTAGACTAAGATGGGGAAACCCGACTGCAGTGAACTTGGAATCTAGACTAAGATGGGGAAACCCGACTGCAGTGAACTTGGAACCTAGACTAAGATGGGGAAACCCGACTGCAGTGAACTTGGAATCTAGACTAAGATGGGGAAACCCGACTGCAGTGAACTTGGAATCTAGACTAAGATGGGGAAACCTGACTGCAGTGAACTTGGAATCTAGACTAAGATAGGGAAACCCGACTGTAGTGAACTTGGAATCTAGACTAAGATGGGGAAACCTGACTGCAGATTGGGGGGGAACCCGACTGCAGTGAACTTGGAATCTAGTAAGATGGGGAAACTTGGAACCTAGACTAAGATGGGGAAACCTGACTGCAGTGAACTTGGAACCTAGACTAAGATGGGGAAACCCGACTGTAGTGAACTTGGAACCTAGACTAAGATGGGGAAACCTGACTGTAGTGAACTTGGAATCTAGACTAAGATGGGGAAACCTGACTGCAGTGAACTAAGATGGGGAAACCCGACTGCAGTGAACTTGGAACCTAGACTAAGATGGGGAAACCTGACTGCAGTGAACTTGGAACCTAGACTAAGATAGGGAAACCCGACTGCAGTGAACTTGGAATCTAGACTAAGATGGGGAAACCCGACTGCAGTGAACTTGGAATCTAGACTAAGATGGGGAAACCCGACTGTAGTGAACTTGGAACCTAGACTAAGATGGGGAAACCCGACTGCAGTGAACTTGGAACCTAGACTAAGATAGGGAAACCCGACTGTAGTGAACAATGTTTGCATTAGTCCACTTTCTAGACTAAGATGGGGAAACCCGACTGTGAACTTGGAATCAGACTAAGCCCGACTGCAGTGAACTTGGAATCTAGACAAAACCCGACTGTGAACTTGGAACCTGTGTGGTCAAACAGCACTGGGATCAACTGCCCTTGGACCTAAGATGGGGAAACCCGACTGCAGTGAACTTGGAACCTAGACTAAGATGGGGAAACAACAGCACTGAACTTGGATCAAGATGGGGAAACCCGACTGCTTACCTGTGTTGAACTTGGAACCTTAAGACTCAAAACCCGACTGCAGTGAACTTGGAACAGACTAAAGATGGGGAAACCAACTGTGAACTTACCTGGGAAACACCGACTGTCGTCAACAGCACTGGGATCAATGTCTTACCTGTGTTGTCAACAGCACTGGGATCAACACCCTACCTGTGTTCGTCAACAGCACTGGGATCAACACCCTACCTGTGTCATCAACAGCACTGGGATCAACACCCTACCTGTGTTGTCAACAGCACTGGGATCAACACCCTACCTGTGTCGTCAACAGCACTGGGATCAACACCCTACCTGTGTTGTCAACAGCACTGGGATCAACACCCTACCTGTGTTGTCAACAGCACTGGGATCAACACCCTACCTGTGTTGTCAACAGCACTGGGATCAACACCCTACCTGTGTTGTCAACAGCACTGGGATCAACACCCTACCTGTGTTGTCAACAGCACTGGGATCAACACCCTACCTGTGTCGTCAACAGCACGGATCACACAGCAACAGCATTGGGATCAACACCACCCTACCTGTGTCATCAACAGCACTGGGATCAACACCCTACCTGTGTCATCAACAGCACTGGGATCAACACCCTACCTGTGTCGTCAACAGCACTAGGATCAACACCCTACCTGTGTTGTCAACAGCATTGGGATCAACATCTTACCTGTGTTGTCAACAGCATTGGGATCAACATCTTACCTGTGTTGTCAACAGCATTGGGATCAACATCTTACCTGTGTTGTCAACAGCACCAGGATCAACACCCCTACAACAGCACTGTCAACACCCTACCTGTGTCAACAGCATTGGGATCAACATCTTACCTGTGTTGTCAACAGCATTGGGATCAACATCTTACCTGTGTTGTCAACAGCATTGGGATCAACATCTTACCTGTGTTGTCAACAGCATTGGGATCAACATCTTACCTGTGTTGTCAACAGCATTGGGATCAAACACAATGACTGGAGATTCTGCCTGGCCAAAGCTGGTGATGACTGTGATGGTGAAGTTGATCACTGAGAGAGAAAGCAAAGATGAGTTGAGTTTCTGGTGTCTTATATATGATTGTCAGTGTTAGTCTCATGTTGTGTCTGTCTGGGTAGATCAGTGTGAAGGTAACATTGTCTCATGTTGTGTGTGTCTGGGTAGATCAGTGTGAAGGTAACACTGTCTGATGTTGTGTGTGTCTGGGTAGATCAGTGTGAAGGTAACATTGGCTCATGTTGTGTGTGTCTGGGTAGATCAGTGTGAAGGTAACACTGTCTGATGTTGTGTGTGTCTGGGTAGATCAGTGTGAAGGTAACATTGGCTCATGTTGTGTGTGTCTGGGTAGATCAGTGTGATGGTAACATTGTCTCATGTTGTGTGTGCCTGGGTAGATCAGTGTGAAGGTAACATTGGCTCATGTTGTGTTTGTGTGTGTCTGGGTAGATCAGTGTGATGGTAACATAGTCTCATGTTGTGTGTGTCTGGGTAGATCAGTGTGATGGTAACATTGTCTCATGTTGTGTGTGTCTGGGTAGATCAGTGTGAAGGTAACATTGGCTCATGTTGTGTTTGTGTGTGTCTGGGTAGATCAGTGTGATGGTAACATAGTCTCATGTTGTGTGTGTCTGGGTAGATCAGTGTGAAGGTAACATTGTCTCATGTTGTGCGTGTCTGGGTAGATCAGTGTGAAGGTAACATAGGCTCATGTTGTGTGTGTCTGGGTAGATCAGTGTGAAGGTAACATTGTCTTATGTTGTGTGTGTCTGGGTAGATCAGTGTGAAGGTAACATTGTCTTATGTTGTGTGTGTCTGGGTAGATCAGTGTGAAGGTAACATTGTCTCATGTTGTGTGTGTCTGTCTGGGTAGATCAGTGTGAAGGTAACATTGTCTCATGTTGTGTGTGTCTGTCTGGGTAGATCAGTGTGAAGGTAACATTGTCTCATGTTGTGTGTGTCTGTCTGGGTAGATCAGTGTGAAGGTAACATTGTCTTATGTTGTGTGTGTCTGGGTAGATCAGTGTGAAGGTAACATTGTCTTATGTTGTGTGTGTCTGGGTAGATCAGTGTGAAGGTAACATAGTCTCATGTTGTGTCTGTCTGGGTAGATCAGTGTGAAGGTAACATTGTCTTATGTTGTGTGTGTCTGTGTAGATCAGTGTGAAGGTAACATTGTCTCATGTTGTGTGTGTCTGGGTAGATCAGTGTGAAGGTAACATAGGCTCATGTTGTGTGTGTCTGGGTAGATCCGTGTGAGGGTAACATCGGCTCATGTTGTGTGTGTCTGGGTAGATCAGTGTGAAGGTAACATTGGCTCATGTTGTGTCTGTCTGTGTAGATCAGTGTGATGGTAACATTGGCTCATCAGTACTGAGACCACCACCAACTGTCAGTATTTCTATGTCAAGTAGCCAGCTCACTGACAGACCCTAGTCACACATTTATTAGATTGTACAGGCACAATTCACCTGGGCCAGACAACATCACACTGGGAGATATTGAAGCTTTGGGATATTTTGGAACTAGAACAATAAAACAATTGTTAAATGATATTTATTATAGTGGGTACATTCCTAATTACCTATTAAGGCCAATTTCTTGAGGCCCTGGAGAGGTGGTTTTACAGAAGAATCCTTTGAATTCCTTGGACAGCTAAGAAGAGCAACCCAGATGTTTTTAATGAGGTGAGTGCTCGAAGACAACTTATCACAAACTTCAAAAAGAGACATCATTTTTTTTTGTTCATGTTAAGAGAAGACGTAAACTGGAACATGTTGATCTGGGAAGATTTGTGGAAAGAAAGACGGGGGAAAAGGCAGGAAATGATTCTTGACAGCATATTGTCACGGCATTAAGTGGTGTCAATATACGAACTGATACATGCAGTTGCAAATTGCAGGTTTTGGAGAGGCATGATTGAACATGCCAGTTGGCAAGGCACTTGATGATGACGGATACAATTGTGGGCAGGGGTCTGGGTGGAAGTGTTCAGCAGACTCCCACATGGTGTCATCATCTCAGTGGGAATTCTTCATCCAAGCAACAGTTAAATCCATTGTCTGCTACGGACCATGTTCGAGACAGACCTGGGCACTCCAGGGGGCAAACGTACAATCTGTCACCTGGCAGTGGGCATATGTACACTCTGTCACTTGGCAGTGGGTACATGTACACTCTGTCACCTGGCAGGGGGCACATGTACACTCTGTCATCTGGCAGGGGGCACATGTACACTCTGTCACCTGACAGGGGGCACATGTACACTCTGTCATCTGGCAGGGGGCACATGTACACTCTGTCACCTGGCAGTTGACACAGACAAAACTATAATCGTCTGTGTGTAATAGATACAAAACCTACATAGTTTTTACATAAACAATGACAACAGCATAGTGATCTGATGATCCAGCTTACAGTTGCAAGCCAAGGATGATATGTCCTGCACAATGTTTTGGTGCATCTTATCACACAGTAGAATCATCACACAATTGAATCATCACACAGTAGAATCATTAAACAATAGAATCATCACACAGTAGAATCATCAAACAATAGAATCATCACACAATAGAATCATCAACAGTAGAATCATCACACAATAGAATCATCACACAGTTGAATCATCACACAATTGAATCATCACACAGTAGAATCATCACACAATAGAATCATCACACAATTGAATCATCACACAGTAGAATCATCACACAATAGAATCATCACACAATTGAATCATCACACAGTAGAATCATCACACAATAGAATCATCACACAGTAGAATCATCACACAATTGAATCATCACACAGTAGAATCATCAAACAATAGAATCATCACACAGTAGAATCATCACACAAGAATCATCACACAGTAGAATCATCACACAAAGAATCACCACACAGTAGAATCATCACACGATAGAATCATCACACAAGAATCATCACACAAAAGAATCATCACTAGAATTTTCATACCCTAAGCTGTGCTGCAAGACCATCAATAAAATAAGGTCTAAATCAAGGTAATCGCTGTGGGATTTTGACTACAGTCTGTTGACCAAAAATGGCTTAAACCCCTGGAGGAATCATGACTATACTAGACGTTATGTTATGTTATCACAATCAACATCTTTGCACTTTGGGCACCCCCATGCATGCTCAGTCCTCTGATGCAGCAGCCACTCTAAGGTACCTCTGCTGACTGTTTCCATTAGGAGTTGGTTATAATATCTTCTGTCTTTACCTCAAAGGCGGTATAGACATTCTTCACCAAGCTTAACTCCTATGTCACGCAGAGATTCGCTGTTATCCCCCAACCTAGTCCCCGCAGCGTTAATGATATCAGCTCTGTCCAGGCTTATTCCCGTTTGCATTGGTGCATTACTTGCCAGGTGGTTAGCTCTTTCATTACCATTTACTCCATCGTACCCAGGTGTGTAGATTCAGATGACGGAGGCTAACTGCGACTTTCGAATGCTTTCTACCCATTCAGAGCATAGACTCCGTGTAGAGTAGAGTCTGAAACAATTACCGCATGTGTGGTTGCTTGTTCTGCTACCCATTCAGAGCATAGACTCCGTGTAGAGTAGAGTCTGAAACAATTACCGCATGTGTAGTTGCTTGTTCTGCTACCCATTCAGAGCATAGACTCTGTGTAGAGTAGAGTCTGAAACAATTACCGCATGTGTGGTTGCTTGTTCTGCTACCCATTCAGAGCATAGACTCTGTGTAGAGTAGAGTCTGAAACAATTACCGCATGTGTAGTTGCTTGTTCTGCTACCCATTCAGAGCATAGACTCTGTGTAGAGTAGAGTCTGAAACAATTACCGCATGTGTAGTTGCTTGTTCTGCTACCCATTCAGAGCATAGACTCTGTGTAGAGTAGAGTCTGAAACACAATTACCGCATGTGTAGTTGCTTGTTCTGCTACCCATTCAGAGCATAGACTCTGTGTAGAGTAGAGTCTGAAACAATTACCGCATGTGTAGTTGCTTGTTCTGCTACCCATTCAGAGCATAGACTCCGTGTAGAGTAGAGTCTGAAACAATTACCGCATGTGTAGTTGCTTGTTCTGCTACCCATTCAGAGCATAGACTCTGTGTAGAGTAGAGTCTGAAACAATTACCGCATGTGTAGTTGCTTGTTCTGCTACCCATTCAGAGCATAGACTCCGTGTAGAGTAGAGTCTGAAACAATTACCGCATGTGTGGTTGCTTGTTCTGCTACCCATTCAGAGCATAGACTCCGTGTAGAGTAGAGTCTGAAACAATTACCGCATGTGTGGTTGCTTGTTCTGCTACCCATTCAGAGCATAGACTCTGTGTAGAGTAGAGTCTGAAACAATTACCGCATGTGTGGTTGCTTGTTCTGCTACCCATTCAGAGCATAGACTCCGTGTAGAGTAGAGTCTGAAACAATTACCGCATGTGTGGTTGCTTGTTCTGCTACCCATTCAGAGCATAGACTCCGTGTAGAGTAGAGTCTGAAACAATTACCGCATGTGTGGTTGCTTGTTCTGCTACCCATTCAGAGCATAGACTCTGTGTAGAGTAGAGTCTGAAACAATTACCGCATGTGTGGTTGCTTGTTCTGCTACCCATTCAGAGCATAGACTCTGTGTAGAGTAGAGTCTGAAACAATTACCGCATGTGTAGTTGCTTGTTCTGCTACCCATTCAGAGCATAGACTCCGTGTAGAGTAGAGTCTGAAACAATTACCGCATGTGTGGTTGCTTGTTCTGCTACCCATTCAGAGCATAGACTCCGTGTAGAGTAGAGTCTGAAACAATTACCGCATGTGTAGTTGCTTGTTCTGCTACCCATTCAGAGCATAGACTCTGTGTAGAGTAGAGTCTGAAACAATTACCGCATGTGTAGTTGCTTGTTCTGCTACCCATTCAGAGCATAGACTCCGTGTAGAGTAGAGTCTGAAACAATTACCGCATGTGTGGTTGCTTGTTCTGCTACCCATTCAGAGCATAGACTCTGTGTAGAGTAGAGTCTGAAACAATTACCGCATGTGTGGTTGCTTGTTCTGCTACCCATTCAGAGCATAGACTCCGTGTAGAGTAGAGTCTGAAACAATTACCGCATGTGTGGTTGCTTGTTCTGCTACCCATTCAGAGCATAGACTCTGTGTAGAGTAGAGTCTGAAACAATTACCGCATGTGTGGTTGCTTGTTCTGCTACCCATTCAGAGCATAGACTCTGTGTAGAGTAGAGTCTGAAACAATTACCGCATGTGTAGTTGCTTGTTCTGCTACCCATTCAGAGCATAGACTCCGTGTAGAGTAGAGTCTGAAACAATTACCGCATGTGTAGTTGCTTGTTCTGCTACCCATTCAGAGCATAGACTCTGTGTAGAGTAGAGTCTGAAACAATTACCGCATGTGTGGTTGCTTGTTCTGCTACCCATTCAGAGCATAGACTCTGTGTAGAGTAGAGTCTGAAACAATTACCGCATGTGTGGTTGCTTGTTCTGCTACCCATTCAGAGCATAGACTCCGTGTAGAGTAGAGTCTGAAACAATTACCGCATGTGTGGTTGCTTGTTCTGCTACCCATTCAGAGCATAGACTCTGTGTAGAGTAGAGTCTGAAACAATTACCGCATGTGTAGTTGCTTGTTCTGCTACCCATTCAGAGCATAGACTCTGTGTAGAGTAGAGTCTGAAACAATTACCGCATGTGTGGTTGCTTGTTCTGCTACCCATTCAGAGCATAGACTCTGTGTAGAGTAGAGTCTGAAACAATTACCGCATGTGTAGTTGCTTGTTCTGCTACCCATTCAGAGCATAGACTCTGTGTAGAGTAGAGTCTGAAACAATTACCGCATGTGTAGTTGCTTGTTCTGCTACCCATTCAGAGCATAGACTCTGTGTAGAGTAGAGTCTGAAACAATTACCGCATGTGTGGTTGCTTGTTCTGCTACCCATTCAGAGCATAGACTCTGTGTAGAGTAGAGTCTGAAACAATTACCGCATGTGTAGTTGCTTGTTCTGCTACCCATTCAGAGCATAGACTCTGTGTAGAGTAGAGTCTGAAACAATTACCGCATGTGTAGTTTGCTTGTTCTGCTACCCATTCAGAGCATAGACTCTGTGTAGAGTAGAGTCTGAAACAATTACCGCATGTGTGGTTGCTTGTTCTGCTACCCATTCAGAGCATAGACTCTGTGTAGAGTAGAGTCTGAAACAATTACCGCATGTGTAGTTGCTTGTTCTGCTACCCATTCAGAGCATAGACTCTGTGTAGAGTAGAGTCTGAAACAATTACCGCATGTGTAGTTGCTTGTTCTGCTACCCATTCAGAGCATAGACTCTGTGTAGAGTAGAGTCTGAAACAATTACCGCATGTGTGGTTGCTTGTTCTGCTACCCATTCAGAGCATAGACTCCGTGTAGAGTAGAGTCTGAAACAATTACCGCATGTGTGGTTGCTTGTTCTGCTACCCATTCAGAGCATAGACTCTGTGTAGAGTAGAGTCTGAAACAATTACCGCATGTGTGGTTGCTTGTTCTGCTACCCATTCAGAGCATAGACTCCGTGTAGAGTAGAGTCTGAAACAATTACCGCATGTGTGGTTGCTTGTTCTGCTACCCATTCAGAGCATAGACTCTGTGTAGAGTAGAGTCTGAAACAATTACCGCATGTGTAGTTGCTTGTTCTGCTACCCATTCAGAGCATAGACTCCGTGTAGAGTAGAGTCTGAAACAATTACCGCATGTGTAGTTGCTTGTTCTGCTACCCATTCAGAGCATAGACTCTGTGTAGAGTAGAGTCTGAAACAATTACCGCATGTGTGGTTGCTTGTTCTGCTACCCATTCAGAGCATAGACTCTGTGTAGAGTAGAGTCTGAAACAATTACCGCATGTGTGGTTGCTTGTTCTGCTACCCATTCAGAGCATAGACTCTGTGTAGAGTAGAGTCTGAAACAATTACCGCATGTGTAGTTGCTTGTTCTGCTACCCATTCAGAGCATAGACTCTGTGTAGAGTAGAGTCTGAAACAATTACCGCATGTGTAGTTGCTTGTTCTGCTACCCATTCAGAGCATAGACTCCGTGTAGAGTAGAGTCTGAAACAATTACCGCATGTGTGGTTGCTTGTTCTGCTACCCATTCAGAGCATAGACTCCGTGTAGAGTAGAGTCTGAAACAATTACCGCATGTGTGGTTGCTTGTTCTGCTACCCATTCAGAGCATAGACTCCGTGTAGAGTAGAGTCTGAAACAATTACCGCATGTGTGGTTGCTTGTTCTGCTACCCAAGAGAGTGCTGTGGAATCAGCAGTTATCTCCATGGTCATGCTTGTTGTAGTTGTCTAGTAAGCGACCGCTATCCTCTTTTATTGTTTTCCCCATCCTTTAAGCTGTGTATACACTTCACAGACCTATTTGTGTGTGAATGCTGATCAGTCAGTGCCCTAATCTTGGCGTATATGGTGGCAGGTATCTGACTCCTGCAGTACCTCCCCAGTGTTATGGTACACTTAAACAAGTTATGCAGGTCTACTGGTGTATCAGTCCATTGTTTTCCATGACTGATCTTGTCTAGGTCACATACTTACTTGATTAGATAGATTGTCTGCCTCGGCCACCCAAGAGGAGCCTCTTTTGAGTTGCATACCTTTTATATCATTAATATGATCACTAGTCATGATCCCAGCCAGTCTGTATGTGCTTTTCTAGTGAAGTTCCAGTACTGGTCTTGCCCTATACAGTTTTTTTTTAAGCTGACAGAGGGACAGGAGAGCTTTACAACAATGTCCCTGTGTATATGATCCTGTGGTAGCAGGGTCAAGGGAACATCTTTGACAGCAACCTGACTGGTGGATGCAAGGCTCAGATATCTTGAACGACAGTGCAATCAGAAAATGAGAGGAGAGTTAACAAAGTCCTTCAGAGCACCAACGACCCAAACAAATCAACATAGACACCCATGGCTGCTAATAAAAAGGTTATATAATGACTGTAAGAACAAGTAGTGTCTACATACTCTGATCCTTTGTCTGTCCCTCTATCCACCCAAACCCCAGAGACCCCCCCTCTGTAAAAAAATCTGCCATCTGCCACCAAGTGTTGTGACCTCCTCAGTCTACTTGAGACTGAATGGGTGTCCCAGGATATCACCGCAAGAGTTCCATTCTTGTACAGGTTGGGTGTCTGGCTGTAGCTAGGGCCTGGATACAAGCAGAATCATGATCGATCACAAAACATGTTTGGCCATACTGAATTAGCTCAAAGACAACATCCACAGGCAATAAATACTGATATAAATCAAAGAATTGCTGAATTCACAAGCAACACAAAGTGTCTATGTTGTGTTGGTAGTAACACTGATGTAACAGTGTCTATGTTGTGTTGGTAGTAACACTGATGTAACAGTGTCTATGTTGTGTTGGTTGTAACACTGATGTAACAGTGTCTATGTTGTGTTGGTAGTAACACTGATGTAACAGTGTCTATGTTGTGTTGATTGCAACACTGATGTAACAGTGTCTATGTTGTGTTGTTTGTAACACTGATGTAACAGTGTCTATGCTGTGTTGGTTGTAACACTGATGATGTCAATGTCCTATGGCTGTGTTGGTAGTAACACTGATGTTACCTGTGTCTATGTTTGTGTTGATTCCCAACACTGATGCACATGGTCCTATCTGTTGTGTTGTTTGTAACACTGATGTAACAGTGTCTATGCTGTGTTGGTTGTAACACTATGTAAAGTGTCTTTCTTGTGTCTACAGTAACACTACGATGTAAACAGTGTCTATGTTGTGTTGGTTGTAACACTGATATAACAGTGAGTCTCCTGTATCATAGTAAACAGAAAAGACAGGAACTGATCAGCACTCATAGAATGCCATTAATTTTCATAGTGTTTCAGCACAGCTTTTTTTCTTGCTCCTGACATCTGCATTTTTAGGGATCCCTAGGTCATATCAAATACCCCTGCTCCCAAATACCCCCCCCCCCCCCCCAGTGAACAAAGAAGAAAAGCAGGGTTTTTTGCAGGAAGTGTTGGTGAGAACTTCTACTAAATGAATGGGTGTCCCCTGCATTCAACAAGACCATGCATTATGATGTTAGTGACAGTGAGAAAGAAAAACAGCAAGTCAAGAACATTACTAGACTCTGTGCTCTTGACCGTGAGCCACAGGGGGAAGGCAGACAACAGCAGGCATCATGATGATAGGGGAAGGCAGACAGTAGAGGCATCATGATGATAGTGACAGGAACAGACAGTTTATGCATCATGATGATAGTGACAGTGAGAAAAAAAGAACAATCAAGCCAAGAACATACCAGATTCTGAGGTGTTGACGGTGAGCCACAGCGGGAAGTCCACACCTCCCTTGTCGTTGTAGACCTGCAGCTGGAAGTCGTAGGCGGTGTAGGGACTCAAGGCTCCAGCCACATGGGTCAGTTGCAGGCCACTGTAGATCAGGCTGACGTCTCCCAGCACACAGGTTTGTTCAAACGGTTGTGGGGTAGGGGGACAGGAGGTTCGCTTGTAGACCTCATACCTGCCGGATGTAGTTACATATACAACTGGCTTTAATTACAGCGATGAGTTGGGTGTCTGATGCACATTTCCCCTTGCTTATTCTACCTCTTGAGCCATGCTTGATCATATTTTTCTTTTTGATCATAAAGCTGCAATGGTGTAATTGTTAATGCCCTCACTTGTCAACTCATCATTCCGAGTTTAGAGACATGTCACCACCTGGGACATTTACGTGGGATTGTAGACACACAATACCAGTCATGTCAGGCTTCTGTGTGCCATGTCACCACCTGGGACAAGCCACATGCTTAGTATTTATCACTTGCGTGTAATGAGGGGTCATTTGCGTGGAAGGGTAGACACACAATACCAGTCATAGTCAGGTTCAGTGTGCCATGGCTCACCAACAGGGAGTGGGATCAGGACCACCTGGGACATTTACGTGGGAAGGGAAGTGGGGTCAGGAGGGAAGGGGAGTGGGCCATCAGAAGGGACAGGGTAGTGGGGGTCAGGAGGGAAGGGGAGTGGGGTCAGAAGGGAAGGGGAGTGGGGTCAGGAGGGAAGGGGAGTGGGGTCAGGAGGGAAGGGGAGTGGGGTCAGGAGGGAAGGGGAGTGGGGTCAGGAGGAAGGGGAGTGGGGTCAGGAGGGAAGGGGAGTGGGGTCAGGAGGGAAGGGGAGTGGGGTCAGGAGGGGGAAGGGGAGTGGGGTCAGGGGGAGGGGAGTGAGGTCATGAGGGAAGGGGAGAGGGGTCAGAAGGGAAGGGGAGTGGGGGTCAGGAGGGAAGAGGAGTGGGGTCAGGAGGGAAGGAGTAAGGAGGAAAGGGAGTGGGTCAGGAAGGAAGGGGAGAGGGGTCAGGAGGGAAGGGGAGTGGGGTCAGGAGGGAAGGGGAGAGGGATCAGGAGGGAAGGGGAGTGGGGTCAGGAGGGAAGGGGAGTGGGGTCAGGAGGGAAGGGGAGAGGGGTCAGGAGGGAAGGGGAGTGGGGTCAGGAGGGAAGGGGAGTGGGGTCAGGAGGGAAGGGGAGAGGGGTCAGAAGGGAAGGGGAGTGGGGTCAGAAGGGAAGGGGAGAGGGGTCAGGAGGGAAGGGGAGATGGGTCTGGAAGGGAATCTTGAAATGGATGACATGATGAACCAGTGGATGTATGAAACATTGTTTTTAAAAAAATCTGCTTTTATGATCTTAAAGAGAAAAACAAAACAAAAAGCAAAACACGTAAAACAAAAGCAAATGAAAAACCACACACAAAACTTAGAGATGTACCTCAAGATCTTGCCGTTAGGGTTGGCTGGAGGAGTCCATGTGAGGGTCACTGTGGAGCTGGTGACAGCAAGAGCTTGGATCTGTGCCAGACCTGCAGGTTTAGCACTGTCTGTGACAGCAATCACCCCAGAACTGTTGCTGCAGCCTGCCAGAGTGCAGGCCTGGCTCTTCAGCTCATACGTGGTGTATGGGGTCAGTGGTGGGGAGGTGCCCACTGTCTGCTGAAGGGCAGGGGATGATGATGCCTGGAAGATCACAAACAAGGAATGTCAACAAGTCAACAGTACATGTGCCCCAATATGATGTCTTGTGTGTCAACAAATGTAGTGCTCCAATACATTCCACTGTAAGTCAACAAAAGTAGTGCTCCAATACATTCCACTGTAAGTCAACAAAAGTAGTGCTCCAATACATTCCACTGTAAGTCAACAAAAGTAGTGCTCCATTACATTCCCTTGTAAGTCAACAAATGTAGTGCTCCAATACATTCCACTGTAAGTCAACAAATGTAGTGCTCCAATACATTCCACTGTAAGTCAACAAATGTAGTGCTCCAATACATTCCACTGTAAGTCAACAAATGTAGTGCTCCAATACATTCCCTTGTAAGTCAACAAATGTAGTGCTCCAATACATTCCACTGTAAGTCAACAAATGTAGTGCTCCAATACATTCCACTGTAAGTCAACAAAAGTAGTGCTCTAATACATTCCCTTGTAAGTCAACAAATGTAGTGCTCCAGTATATTCCACTGTAAGTCAACAAATGTAGTGCTCCAATACATTCCACTGTAAGTCAACAAATGTAGTGCTCCAGTATATTCCCTTGTAAGTCAACAAATGTAGTGCTCCAATACATTCCCTTGTAAGTCAACAAATGTAGTGCTCCAATACATTCCACTGTAAGTCAACAAATGTAGTGCTCCAATACATTCCCTTGTAAGTCAACAAATGTAGTGCTCTAATACATTCCCTTGTAAGTCAACAAATGTAGTGCTCCAATACATTCCCTTGTAAGTCAACAAATGTAGTGCTCCAATACATTCCACTGTAAGTCAACAAATGTAGTGCTCCAATATATTACATTGTAAGTCAACAAATGTAGTGCTCCAATACATTCCACTGTAAGTCAACAAATGTAGTGCTCCAATACATTCCACTGTAAGTCAACAAAAGTAGTGCTATAATGCATTCCCTTGTAAGTCAACAAATGTAGTGCTCCAATACATTCCACTGTAAGTCAACAAATGTAGTGCTCCAATACATTCCATTGTAAGTCAACAAATGTAGTGCTCCAATACATTCCCTTGTAAGTCAACAAATGTAGTGCTCCAATACATTCCACTGTAAGTCAACAAATGTAGTGCTCCAGTATATTCCACTGTAAGTCAACAAATGTAGAGCTCCAGTATATTCCCTTGTATGTGGACAAATGTAGTGTTCCAGTTATATTCCACTGTTAGTCAACAAATGTAGTGCTCCAGTATATTCCACTGTAAGTCAACAAATGTAGTTTTCTAGTATATTCCCTTGTTTGTCAACAAATGTAGTGCTCCAATATATTCCCTTGTAAGTCAACAAATGTAGTGCTCCAATACATTCCCTTGTAAGTCAACAAATGTAGTGCTCCAATACATTCCACTGTAAGTCAACAAATGTAGTGCTCCAATACATTCCACTGTAAGTCAACAAATGTAGTGCTCCAGTATATTCCACTGTAAGTCAACAAATGTAGAGCTCCAGTATATTCCCTTGTATGTGGACAAATATAGTGCTCCAGTATATTCCACTGTAAGTCAACAAATGTAGTGCTCCAGTATATTCCACTGTAAGTCAACAAATGTAGTTCTCTAGTATATTCCCTTGTTTGTCAACAAATGTAGTGCTCCAATATATTACATTGTAAGTCAACAAATAGATCAACATATATAGTGCTCCAATATAATTACTTTAATCTTGGAACAATAAAGAACACTCACCACAGAGCCATTGACCAGAACCACAGAGCCATTGACCAGAACCACAGAGCCATTGACCAGAACCACAGAGCCATTGACCAGAACCACAGAGCCATTGACCAGAACCACAGAGCCATTGACCAGAACCACAAAGCCATTGACCAGAACCACAGAGCCATTGACCAGAACCACAGAGCCATTGACCAGAATCTTGGAACAATAAAGAACACTCACCACAGAGCCATTGACGAGAATCTTGGAACAATAAAGAACACTCACCACAGAGCCATTGACCAGAACCACAGAGCCATTGACCAGAACCACAAAGCCATTGACCAGAACCACAGAGCCATTGACCAGAACCACAGAGCCATTGACCAGAATCTTGGAACAATAAAGAACACTCACCACAGAGCCATTGACCAGAATCTTGGAACAATAAAGAACACTCACCACAGAGCCATTGACGAGAATCTTGGAACAATAAAGAACACTCACCACAGAGCCATTGACCAGAATCTTGGAACAATAAAGAACACTCACCACAGAGCCATTGACGAGAATCTTGGAACAATAAAGAACACTTACCACAGAGCCATTGACGGGAATCTTGGAACAATAAAGAACACTCACCACAGAGCCATTGACCAGAACCACAGAGCCATTGACCAGAACCACAGAGCCATTGACCAGAACCACAGAGCCATTGACGAGAATCTTGGAACAATAAAGAACACTCACCACATAGCCATTGACCAGAACCACAGAGCCATTGACCAGAACCACAGAGCCATTGACCAGAACCACAGAGCCATTGACTAGAATCTTGGAACAATAAAGAACACTCACCACAGAGCCATTGACCAGAATCTTGTAGAGGCGGATGACTCCGTTAGGTTGACTGGGAGGAACCACTGTGACTGTGATAGTGACTGCTGTGATGGCCTAGGATTTATAGAAGAAAGAAAGAGAGTCAACAACTCAATATAGCTTCAATAACTGTCATCATTTCTATCAATGCTTGGATGATTATCTTGAAAACACATGTATGTGGTTCAGGAGGGCTGGCTAACACAGAAAACACATGTATGTGGTTCAGGAGGGCTGGTTAACACAGAAAACACATGTATGTGGTTCAGGAGGGCTGGCTAACACAGAAAACACATGTATGTGGTTCAGGAGGGCTGGCTAACACAGAAAACACATGTATGTGGTTCAGGAGGGCTGGCTAACACAGAAAACACATGTATGTGGTTCAGGAGGGCTGGTTAACACAGAAAACACATGTATGTGGTTCAGGAGGGCTGGCTAACACAGAAAACACATGTATGTGGTTCAGGAGGGCTGGCTAACACAGAAAACACATGTATGTGGTTCAGGAGGGCTGGCTAACACAGAAAACACACATGTATGTAGTTCAGGAGGGCTGGCTAACACAGAAAACACATGTATGTGGTTCAGGAGGGCTGGCTAACACAGAAAACACATGTATGTGGTTCAGGAGGGCTGGCTAACACAGAAAACACATGTATGTGGTTCAGGAGGGCTGGCTAACACAGAAAACACATGTATGTGGTTCAGGAGGGCTGGCTAACACAGAAAACACATGTATGTGGTTCAGGAGGGCTGGCTAACACAGAAAACACATGTATGTGGTTCATGAGGGCTGGCTAACACAGAAAACACATGTATGTGGTTCAGGAGGGCTGGCTAACACAGAAAACACATGTATGTGGTTCAGGAGGGTTGGCTAACACAGAAAACACATGTATGTGGTTCAGGAGGGCTGGCTAACACAGAAAA